CTTTGTAAAACAACTAGTCAAGATAGCTTGTTTTCAAGAATTTTGAAAGAACTATTTAAGGAACCTTGAAAGACATCCATGTTAAAATTATGCAGTAAGTGTCAGGATGCTGGGGAACTGGAAGAAAGTTAATGCTGCTGTATTTAAAAGGGGTAAGTGGAACATGCTGGACAACTGTACTTAATTACATTTGCCCTACTCCTACAAATAAGACTGCTTGATAATACAAAGATAGCTGTCTTAGCATCAATGAGTAAAAATAACAGAGTATTTGACATCGGATCAAAGAACTAGAGAAGGGTTTATAATCTAAAGGGCTTATTTGAAAAGACTTCTTGTTGCAGTGTCATTTTTTTAAATGTGTTTACCAGTTTGACAAAAGTCATAGTGTGGACGTTTCACCTTTATGTTCTTCAACTGATAACTCTACATGTGTATTTTAGTGAGTGCCTGGTACAAATCATTATGTTCCATGTGGGTTAAAAATGAAAGTATAAATAGGAATCATTATGGGAATTGTTGTCAGCTAGCTCTGCCTATAAGTTTCCTGTAAGAGTAAATTCTGGGTTATGTTCTATTTAGCAGTTTAGCAATAAGTCAGAAGACAACATTAAAACTGTACTGTTCTGCTGATAACTTAAGGTAGGAAAAAATAAGGCAGAGATCAACTCATCAATGCAATAAAATAAAACTATGTATCTCAAAGGGAGATACTACTTATATTGAAGGTAGGAATATCTGTTCTGGAATGGAATATGCCACAGAGAGACTTGATGTCAAGGTGAATGATTGATTAAAATAATTTTTTTTGGCCAAAATTACTGAGATTGTTGCATGGATGAATAGGGATGAGGAGGGAGCAGAATAGTCATTCTGCATAGCATGACATTAGTTGTGCACTGATGTTTGCCTTTCTGCCTTCTTCCCTGAAAAACTGGAGAGGGCTCTAGGAAGATCCTAAAATATCAGCTTATATAATAAGCTTTGGCAAAACTGAATTTGGTTGTTTTGTTCCACTTTCGACCATTACCTGCAATCTATCTAGACAGAGTACAATAAGAGTGATGAAATAAGCACGGGACATGGAGATGAACCAACTAATGAGCAAAGAATTAAAGAGTCTAATAGTGAGCAGCAGGAGATCAGTGACATTTTCAAGGTGAAAGATTAGTAGCTTAAAGCTGTAAATACTCATGAAGGAGAGAGATTATTTGTTGAGCTGAAAGTGGACAGTTTAGGAGTCATTGAAAAATACTTGGATAGGTAGGAGACAAAAGAGTCTTCTGCTTAGTCTGACTTCTTGACAGTCAGACGTATTACCCAGTACATTAGTTTATCCTTCTCAGAGAAGCAGTGAGAAATATTGAGTTACTATTTTGATATTAGATGGGGAAAAGCACTAGAAAATGCTCTAAAGGAAATCCCTACTTTGTCAGGAAGATGTCTTGACTGACCTGGAATTGATTTCCCATCGTGAGTTCTATAAGTATTTTCTGTAATTTTCTTCTCTTCTGCAAAGTAACATCAGGATTCAGGGAAAAAATCAGCTCTCCAGATATTTTTTTCCCTGTAAGGTACTGAAAGGAATGGAATTGCCTTCTCAGTGCTGGAGGCTTCTGATTTTACTGTGTCTGTACTTCATACAGAAAAAGAGATGGATTTGTGCTGTGCTGTTATAAGATCACGTATTTTTTTCTGTGACAGTTGAATATGTTATACTCACTGTTTCTTCCTGATCATTTTACGTTCCTTGATGGCACACTTAGTGTAAAATCATGAATCTCCTTCCTTTCCTTCTTATGGGTTTTTTTCCACTTAAATAATTGACTTTTGCTGATCAATGTAGAGAAATCATGATCTTGAAAAGCAATAGTCCTTATTATTTGTTTAAAGCTGAAATTCATGTCATACAAAAATTACATATAAATGTGTGAAAGGATTATCAGAAGCACCTCCACAGGCCCCAGTTTCTTTTGGAGACTACACTAGATTTTCAGCTCAATCAAAGAGGTTGGATGAATGAGAGAGAAAAATAACTGAGATATACAGTAAGAGCATAGCTTGGACTGGAGTGCTGCAAAGCTGCTACTGTGAGTCTTCTTCTGCTCCACCATAGCCAGAAATTCTTTGCTATGGGTGCATGTTTTTGTGGGTGAATATGAACAAATTCCTTGCCTAACACTGAGTCTAGGGTCTTCTGTTCAAGTGTATTTCACCTGTCAGTGAACTCAGCTGTAAAGACTGCCTTTCCTTCCTCTCATATGCTCAGTTTCTTAAGTGACATCTTCCCAGAGTGATGAGGGTTGTTACAGGCATTAGAATGAACACTTTTTTGTTTTTTGTCAAAATGAAGTAGGATGTATTTGTTGGGTTTTTTTACTTTGTTTATCTCAGCCATCACCAATGGCAATAGAGATTTTTTTTCCACACTAAAGGAGTAAATTCGTGTTGCAAGTAACTTAGGGCTCTGTTCATGGTAATGTGCCACTGGACCTTGTGCTTGCTAATGAGAAAGAATAGAAACATTCAGAAGGTGTTTGTAGTGGATGTACAAGTCAAATATATTGATTAAGTTTTAGATTTATGAGAAGGAATGTCTCTAGCAGAACTTCTCCTACGAATGTACTATGTTTTGTGGGTCCCACGATATTCAGGCTATTTCCAAAATACACAAGCAGCTTGGAGTGTGTGAGGAGATGAGTGGGTAGAATAGACTTTACAGAAAGCCCCGAGGGAAGTAAATACTGAAGCTGCAGCAGTGCTTAACAAAGGTTGGGAGATACAGGACTGAGCAACTTTTCAACAGGCACAGAACGTAAGTTGGGAGGAGCAGATTTCACTTGTCAAGTTCTTCTCCTTTCTGCAGCAGAATTTCTTTAAATATGGTGAAATAGATTCATTGGCAATATATGGTTGATTATTAGCATGGATTATTCATAAGGCAACCCTTTCATAAGGCTGGCCCATTCTTTCTGAGGATTTCATTCTGTTATTGAAGATACCTTACTTATCAGGGCAGTGTCCATGTCGTATGTGCAGTGCAGAATCAACTTTTCCAACAATTAGGTCCCTACATATATGAAAATAGGGGCAAGGAAAAATGTAGTGTTTGGCAATGGGTCTGTGGAGACCCCAAATCTGTCATCAGTATAGCATGTGTCTGCTCCAGCAAGATGCTATTCCGTTCAAAAGTTATCCTTCTCTGGAACCCATTGAATAACATAATAGAAGTCTTTAATAATATAAAAGAAGATAGAAGGATACAGCATTTTCATACATGAAATATTTCACAGCATTTTATTCACTGTATGATGCGCGTTGTCATATGTATTAAACTGAAAATTGTTATAGCAGTGTGAAATCAAACCAGATATTACTGAAAAACTATACACAGTAGTAAGTGAAAAAGTTGAACACACATTGAAGTTTGGGAGGCTTTGCTTTTTATAGATCCTGGTGTGTGTTTTCCTAATATTACATAATATTACTCTTCAAATTAGTTCTGTTGAGAATATCTCAGCTGTTAACTGTGGTGTATCTATACACCTTTGTATATCAACTGCAATTCATGTGATTAGGATTCCTGCCCTCTGACATGATCTGACATTTTTATACTGCTGAGCTCATAACCCATGTGGTCGAGGTTTGAGAGACTTCATTTTGAATCTCACTGTCTGTGAACATCTTTTGAAAACAAATGTTTATTTTAGCCAACTTGTCCATGATTTCTACAAAAGACTGGAAACTATCTTAAATACAGATTACTGCATGCTTAGTTTGGGACTTGTGTATTTTCACATACACAGGTTAGACAAATAAAATAGCCATTGTTGGTGTGAGTTATTCTGAAGAGAACTCCGAAGGTACAAAATATTTAATTGACGGAAATACTACACTGGATAGTAATTTTGATACATTTGTTTTATTTTGAATAACAAAGATGATTCAGAAGTATGCCTCCATTTAAAACTAGCTAATCTTAGCATGTTGGATCTACTTTTCATGTTGGTGAAATGGAGAATATTTTCTATGCCGTTTTATATATTCTGAGGTTTTGGTCTTTTTCTCCAGCACAACCAAAGTTTACATCAGGACTCTACATTTTTATGTGAATAAAAATGCACAGATGTGTGTAAATTGGTGCTATAATTATGATCAAATATCAGTTATTAATGGAGGTTTTTATAGATCCATGACAAAGGAATCCCAGAGACAGAGCAGCACAGGGGGATTAATATGAAGGGTATTAGAGAGAGTACATATTACTGTGAATCAGATAGAGGAAAGTTATTGATTGCTTTGAAAAACCCAGCCTTCATGCCTGGCAGTAGGAAAAAAACCTGTTTCCTGGTTGTGTGCAGTGATGGAAAGTTTCATTAGTGTTAGTTTCAGATGGAGTGTTCTCTTGTGGTGAAGATGAGAGCCCTTAAGCACATCCTCGCAGAAGACTGGGGATAAATCCATGTCATGTAGTGTACAGATAGCATGTGTTTTACAGCTGAACTCTTTTTCTAATCATAGAATCATAGAATCATGGAATCATGGAATGGTATGGGTCAGAAGAGGCCTTTAAAGTTTATCTGTCCAACCACCCTGTCATAGGCAAGGACATCTTTTTCACTAGATCAGGTTGCTCAAAGCCCTGTCCAGCCTGGATACTTTAGAGGAGTCATTGTTGGCTGGCAGGTAGATGTGCTGTTACTGCAACACAGACAATACTGGAATGTGCAGTGGCTAGAGGTTATATACTAGTAAAGATGGGAGTGTGTAAGAATAATAGAGAACATATTAATAAGTGAAATATTTTGTTGTGGTTATGTTTCTGGGAAGTGGTGGGGCTATCCTGAAACATCATCAGCTGTACTGCACCAAGAACTGCAATGAGGATGAGAGTACTATAACAGAGCTTTGTTAAATATGTGCTCGTTCTTAACAATATGGGAGCATAGTTTTGTACAGAAACATCAAACGCATCCTCTGTTCTTTTTATTTTGTTATAGCTGTTCTCTCCTGTTCTGGATCACAAGAAGAAAACTCTTCTTCACCAAATCCACCTCAGAAGCTCTCCCTGATAAAAAATAGGATGGTTTCATTGCATCAGCCTGCTAAACCAGGTACCACAAGTCTTCTTCCCTCCATCTTCCTTATTTCTCCTTCAGAGTCTAGATGTAAGATAGATGCCAGCAATCACAAGCACCCTTTACCAGAAAGCTGTGACACTTTGACTGGAAATGGAGCAATGACTCAGAAAGGCCAGAGTAAACTTAAGGGAATCCCTTACTTCCGTATTAAACAAACCCAAACCCAAACAAAACAAAGCAAGCAAACAAAACCACAAAAAACCTGTTCAACACCCCCAAAAAATAAAACCAACCAAACAAACCCTAAACAAAACCCATCCCCAACACAGTAGGAAAAGAAAAAAAAAAATAAAAAAGGAAAAAAACATAAAATATTTTCCATTGAGCACACTGAAATTCACCAGATTTAGGATTGGGAATTCCTAAAATAAAAGCCAATTAGTGGAGCTGCTTTCCTACAACTGTAGAACAAACTGTCTTTCTTGAAACTAAATGAATATTTTTTTCAACTGGAATTTTCTTTATCTAGGCATTGTAAAAGCACAGTGAGCTATGCTTTTTAAATTTGTGTCTGTTGCCTCTTGTCCTGTTAGTAGATGCTACTGAGAATTGCCTGGCTCCTCTTCATTCTCTCTCATCAATGTGTTTGTACACAGTCATAAAATCCCCCTGATCCTTCTCTTCTACAGACTTCAACAGTCCCAGCTCTGTCAGCCTCTCCTATAATGAAAGATGCTTCAGTCCCTCAGTCTTCTTTTTGGACCTGTGCTGGACTTGTTCCTGTAAGTCTGTATCTTTCTTGTACTAAGGAGCCCAGAGCTTGAGCACAGTACTCCAGATGTGGTCTCACCAGTGCCAAACAGAGAGGAAGAATTACCTCTTCATCTACTGGCAGTGTTCTTTCTAATGCAGCCCAGAAAGCTGTTGGTTGCCTTTGTTCTGAGTGCATTATTTACTCATGGAGAGCTTGTCCACCACATCACCCAAAGTCCTTCTCTTCAGAGCTGCTTTCCAGCCAGTCAGGCCCTGGTGCAGGGAGTTATACCTTCCGAGGTGCAGCAGGAGTTGGCTTTTTCTTCAAGGGGTTCCTATTGGCCTGACCCTCAGCCTGTCTGGGTTGCTCTGAATGGCAGCACAGCCATACGGTGTGTTGGCCTCTCCACCATGTTTTGTAACCACTGTGAACTTGCTGAGGGTCCACTCTGCCCCCTTCTTCAGGTCATTAATGAAGATGCTAAACAATAAAGAAAGGTCTGTGGTGCTAGAGAAGTCATACATTCCTCCCAGGAAGTGGATAGGTGACCTAGCCTTGCCTGGCTAGACAATGTTGCTTACAGTACCATCTTGCAAATGGTATCTAATTCTTTAAAGTCCTCAGTGACATACCATGGACTGCCAGTGAGCTTTCTTCAATCTAAACTTCCTCAGAGTGTTTTTATAATGTCTTAAGATATGCCCTTTGCTGATTGTAGTAATATAGATCTATTTCTCTATTATACTTAGTTTTACCTTTTAATTTCTGTCATATTGTTCCTTTTTGCTGACTTGAACTTGTTCTCCAAGTTCATAGGTGCTAAGCAAAGCTGGATATGAAACATCTGTAAGGTGGTACACAGCAGTGTCAGAGGTTTCAGCTTCCACTTTCTCTTTCACTGTGACCATGAATGTACCCAGATCTTTAGCTCTGTGATTTATGTTAAACAACAGCTTCTTGTTGATCAGTCTTTCCACCACAATGCAATAACGGAAAAAACAGTAGTTTTTTTTACTGGATGTAAAAAGCTTTCCTGATGTGTTTCAGACTCTTCCAGGTATTCAGACCCTCTCCACCCTCAGCTTGTGGCAGACAGGCTTTATAAAGCCTAGACAGTATGTGAAGTAGGTGCTTTTCAAGGGGAAAGTTGTATTCACCTGTGTGAGCTGCCAATTACCTTGTTATGTGAGGCATGTTCAAAGGATTAAATCTGCATTGGTACAGTCCTTGCTACTGCAAGTGGAGGTATTGGTAACATTTTAATGAAATTATTTTGTCATAAATAATAGTTTCAGTTCAAGTAACTGTCTATTAAAAAAACAGAAGGAATTTTTTCTTTCCTGAGCTTTCATTTTGGTCTCTTCCACTGTCATACTGTTGTGAGAGAAATTGCTTTCTGGGTTTTATGATCAACTAGAAAATTATCTGATAAAAATATTACTTGTACTGACAATGAGACTGTGGATGCTAAGTTAACCTGTCAAACTTCAATAAATTTGTAACAGCTCAGCAGGTGTGGATCAGGAGGACTCTGCTTTGTCTCACACAGCAATGGAGTTTCTGAGCTATTCAGATCCTTAAAGCTGTTTTAACTGGATCATCAAACCATAGCCTGAAGCTGTGCACAGACATTTTTCCCCAGATCCAGCAGAGCCAGGAGAGTGTCTGGTGTCTTCCTTCCTGGGCCCTGCTGTAGTCTGGCATTTCATACACAGGCACACACATGCACAATTTGCCAGTTCATCTGCTTGTGGCTTCCATTTGAAAATGATAGGCTGAACACTGTAGCACGCCTTTGCTAAGCTGTGTGCATTGGATAAGTTGGGCTAAGAAGATATTTGGATGGTTCACCAAGGATTGAGAAAGGCAGCAATCTCCATTTCTAATAGGCCAGACAGGGCTAGAGAGTGTCCAAAGCAATTGCAGAGGAGATGAGGAGCAATTCTGTAACATCCATGTTTCTCTTACCCAGGTACACTGGGTAGTGTGTTGTAAAAACCAAGTTAGAATTAACTTCAATAATTACTTGTCTCTGTTGCTTCTGTTTCCTTTTTTTTTTCTGAAAGTTTAGGTGAAGTATAGGAAATCTTGCAGAGGCTCTTATGTTTTTTATTCGTGCCCCACCCGTGTCGCCTGTACAACCGCATGTCCTTGTTATATCCCTAACCTTAACTCTGTTCTTCATACCTGCCTGTTCTCTTCTACAGGAATAGGACTACCAAAGTGGTAACTTTATGTCATTCATGTTTGGAAGGTCTGAATACCCTCAGAACATCAGGATCCTAAATATGAATGTTTAGTCTCTTGCTATTTCTCATATGGCCCGGGGATGCTCCAGTTATTACTGTAATATTATTATTACTACTGAAAATAAATATCATGAAAGTTAATATCAGCTTACCATATCTATTCAGCTCCACTCTGTGTGTGGTAGAGCTTCATGCAGCTAACATCCCTTCAGGGAGTTTATATTAGATTGATGAGAGAATAGAGAATTACTTTTTGTCTGGCTTATAACATGCTGATTAAGAAAAATTCTGGCCAGGATGATCTAGTGTTTTCAGTACTGCAAACAGACTCTGGAGTTTGTTAAGAGGGTGTTCTTATCCATCCTTCTGGAGGAAAGCAAGACTGTTTTTAAATAAAAGATTATGTGAAGCTTGCGTTGCTCAGCTATTCTGCTTGAGACCCTGTCAAGCTCTTTCTGTTGCTGAGAGAGGGTTGACCTTGGAGTATCAGTTGTTTCTCTCTGCCAAAATACTAAATCCGTAGAGTTTCAATATCCTTGTTGCACTAGATATTATTCTCGTTCAGGATTTTGTGTACTTCTGGTCTAGACCTTCCACTGACATAAATTCACTGTTAGTACCAGTGGGAGGATGCTGACTTACACCTGTGAAGAATTTGCAGGTTAGTTTTTCATTCTGGCATGTTCTTTGACCTGTTGTCTGAGAGATTCTGTTGTTATTGCCCAAGATGAACTTTCTTTTTCCCTTCAACTCTTCCCTTTCTTGAGAGATACAGCCTCCATACACTGTACATCTGTTCATTCATTTGTCTGTGTTACCCTTGCCCCTTGAGCTGCGGTAAAGCCTCAATGAAACCTTTGGTTTCTTGTAACAGAAATCTCTTGTATCATCGGCTCAAGCTGTTCATGGGTGACGTCTACAGACAGTTTTGGAAAACCAGACTGGGTGTTATCGTCCGCCGGTGTCCTGGTGTCTCAGGAGAGGCAGCAGCTGCTTCTGGAAAACAGTTTCTCCTGTGGAGATGTTGAAGGTAGGCAGTGTTACAGTTCCCCTTGAATGGATATCTGCTTTTTCCCAGCCCTGGTTGCAGCTGTGGGTGGCAGCAGCAGGAGTCAGCAGGCGTCAGCAGGCTGAGACCTCAGGTCAATGTGACTGAAAACACCACCATATACTGGTTATGATGCAGTACTCCTAAAGGTGTTGTCAGTGCCCAAGAGTCAAAAAAAGCCATGTAATGCATGTATGCTGCCTAAGTTGTGTGTGTATGTATATACCCTGTAAACAGGTAGCCCCATCATGTACTCATTTTGTATCTCCTCATTTTGAGATAAGCTACTTTTGCTTGCAGTGACTGGATTTTTCTTAGGAAACTCAACCCTTCACAAACCAGAGCTGGCTCCACATGTCCGCTGTCTGACTTGCAAAGTCTTTGGATTTTGTTTTGTCGGGCTTCACTTTGCTTTGTTTGGTTTCTTCTCTTCTCATTTCTTCTATCACTTCTTTACCTAAACCCCTAATTTTTACTTTATTCTCCTTTCTCTCTTATTTTTTTAGGGTTTTGTGCATAGTCCTGTCTTTTATCCTCATGATTCCTTTCTTCAAACTCCTCATCTATTTTCCTCTTGTTATCGCTCTTCCATCCACACTGCATGTCTCTTGTTTTGTTTTGTTTTGTTTTTCTCTCCTCACAGGGGACATTTTCCTTCTGAACACCAGTAGGCTCCCAGATAGATGTGAGTTCAGCCTGCATAGCCCCATCCTGCTTGGGAGTTTGGACTCCTGCTTGCTGGAACTGGCCATATGTTCACAGGATGCTGTTCCTCTCCTTCAGAGGTTCACAGTTGACATCAGATATGTGGAGACAAACAAAAATACAGTGATTTCTCTGAGAGTTGGCCATGATGAGAATGCTGGGTAAGATAATCAGTTTTCAACTGTTACTCCTTTGAATTGCAAGGTAGAATGGAGTTCATTCAGGCTGCTTTTTATCGGTGTCTTCTCCCTTCTTGTGATCACTGCTGCTATTACATAAGAAAATGAAGGTAGAAAGGACTGAAGCACACAGCGTCCTGACAGAATGTCCACAACAGACCCAGGTTTTATGTGTCCTCTTTGCAAAGAACACACTAGCATAGGACTTACTCTTCTTCCCTCATATTTAGAAGGGTGAAGAGTGGTTAATGCTCTCATTGATGCAAGAACTACAGCTGTAAAATGAGTTTAGTCCAAAGACTGACTTGGTAACATGACTGATATCTCTAAGGATTCATTGGGTCCTATCATCGTTACAATGGTCACAGTTCTCATGTTGAGGTGGGGTAATTTTACCTTTTTAGTAATTCCATCCTTTCTAGTAGGTTCAGAAGCATCCACTTTTGCTTCATTTGTAGAGTTCAGGGAGGGGAAAAACTGGGGTTAGAGGTAAGAAGAGGTAAAGGAAAACAAAAGAAAGGGTAGAAGCCCCAGATCTTATCCTCTATTTGCTTTGATCTTCCCAATATTTTACTTTTTAATTCCTGTGTGTAGCAGAATGCAGTAAGAAGGAGAAATGGGCAAAGAGAACAAATCACAACAGGAAAAGAAGGAGAAAAGTCCACATGTCATCTAATTTTGCCATTTTCCATGTGCTTGTTTTTCCTTTGCTGCAATCCAACTTGTAAGAACCTGGGTCATACACACAACAGTTTTTTATTTCCATCACCTGACTGACTCCCGTGGAGAACTTAAGCATTAGATCCCAGTTCATGTTTTCTTTGAATTCTTTGGCACTCCCCAGGCTGCCATGGAGATCTGTAGCCAAGAGTCCCAGTCAGCCAAAGATAGCAGAGTTTGACTAAAAAAACTTTTTTTTTTTCAGATCTCAGTCTCTCTTTCTCTCTTTCTCTCTTTCTCTCTTTCTCTCTTTCTCTCTTTCTCTCTTTCTCTCTTTCTCTCTTTCTCTCTTTCTCTCTTTCTCTCTTTCTCTCTTTCTCTCTTTCTCTCTTTCTCTCTTTCTCTCTTTCTCTTTCTCTCTTTCTCTCTCTCTTTCTCTCTTTCTCTCTTTCTCTCTTTCTCTCTTTCTCTCTTTCTCTCTTTCTCTCTTTCTCTCTTTCTCTCTCTCTCTCACTTTTATCTGTTGCTCAGTTCCTTCCCGGCTACTCCTTCCCCATCTTCTTGCCAATTTAGCAGGGAATCTGTTGCATTTTCTGGGATTAGTTTCTAATGTCCTTTTTTACTTGCTCAAAGCTGCCTTTGCTGCTTTTAGTATTTAAGAGGCTTCTGCAACTGCAGCTGCAGCTCCATTTGCCTATGTAAACTCAGAAAATACCCTTTTGCTACTCCTAGCTGGCCAGACCAGGCTTTGCTAGCATTTGCTGCAGTGTCTCTGGAATGGATCATAGACGTTGTTTAGCAGCTTATTTGAGCACTGCAAAACAATTTTAAGTGAAATCAAGATTACCATCTCTCTAAAAGTGACAGTATTTAGAGTTATTAGAATGGAGTTAGCTTCACTGGAAGTTGGCATAGACACTGGTATTACTTTTTCTTAGTGAGTGAAGTGGAACGTTGGTAAGCTCAGAAAGTTTACTCTTCAGATTTTAAACATGGAAAGTGACTGAGTCCTGTCTGAAATCAAGATAGAAAGGAGGGATAGAAAAGACACAAACGAGAGATAGAAACCCTGTTAGATAAAATACCCTTCCTTTTCCCCCTCATTAGAGGGAAACTCTTTAAAATCTTGATACAATTCAGAAAAAAATCTGACCATGCAGACAGAGTAGAATTTGTTTCCAACACAGTGATTGAGCTGCTTCTTGCTAGGCAGGTAACCTGAAATGAACATTCTCTCTGTGACTAAGATTTTAACAATATTGCTTGCTGAGAAGTGAAATCACCCTGAAGTGCTGCCACTTTACAGGGTCTTTCCATATGGAATAGGAGTTCTACAAGCTTTTCTGTGTCAGCCAAACACTGCTATGCAATTTCGAGCAGAACAAGGACGACAACGAGCACACGGCCTTGAGATAGATGCCCATGTGTAGTACATAGTGTAAGCATTGACAATCACTACCAAGGGATTGTCTTGAGATCAGAGTAGAAATTTAGACATAAAAAAAATGCTAGGTGGCACTTTTTTCAGATAATCATGCACTCTAGAAGGTCCTGTTTCGGTCCCTCTTGACACCTCTCAGTTCCATGGTCAAGCTACATTTCATCATAAACTTCAGCTCCTTCAGTGAACTATCCTCTCTCTGGACCTGGAAATCTTCTCCTGAAGTTTTCTCCTTCAGGATCCATGAACTACACAGTTCTCAAAAGTTTAGATATATGTATAAGAGAAAATTGCTGGCTGTCCCGTCCACCTCACTAACTGCTAGGATTTATCATTAGATTGATAGTACTGAAGCTGCCAGTATTTTTTTTCACATGTATACCTGAAAGAATAAAGAAACAGATGGACTTTCAGCTCCACGTCCTCTGAATAAGTTGGACAAAGTCACAAAGTGACAGTATTTATTGTTATACACTACACCTGTACATTATGGTTTTCCGAGTCATTACCATTAGAGGGAGACCTGCTCAGGGATTGAGGCGCTTGAGATTCTATGTATTTACAAAAAATATATAAAATTATATTTCTCATTATATGCATAAAGCTCAAACATCAAGAGCCTGTGACCTTGCTTGCAAGTCCAAGCCTTCTTTGTCTGGTACTTAGCTCATAAAGCTGTCTTCACTTTCTCAGGGTTGCAGTTTTGGCACTTGTTCAGGTTACAACTAAGGTCTTTTTACCTTTATTTATTTATTTATTTATTAACATTTTTGCTATTTTGCTTATCCCACCTTTTTGTCTTTAGCACACAGTTCCAGAATCAGCTACAGCTGAAAATTCTTGAGTCCTTTGTGTTTTTGACTGGTTTCACGTGTTTGCGTTTGTTGTGGACCACAATTATTTCAGTGTTGTCAGACAAAACTATTTCAGTAAGGGGCTAGTTTCTTTCAACTCTAAGTCCTCACACTTCAGTAAAAATAAAAAAGCATCATTTGGAGCAGGGATAGTATTTTCCCTTTCTGTGGTCAATAAGATAAGGTGATTTCATTCTGTTTTTATTCTGAAATATAATGCGCTGGCCATGGTAGTCTTGGTAGGTCAGAAAACAAAGAGTTCACAGCCATGTGCACACATGGGTTTTCAGTTATCCAACCTCATAAAACTGCTTATTTCTTAGGTTTTTGTCTTCTCTCTATTTCTGGAGGGGTGGTGGTGATAAAATGCTCCACCACCTTCTGAGACACTGGTCGAAACTTGCCATTTTTGACACTTCTCTTCTACTAGTGTGATTGCTTTTATCCACAAAAGTTATTTAACTTCTCCTGCTGTACAGATGACAAGGGAGTAGTCTGGTAAAGGTCCTCAGAAAATGCCTAATGCATGCTGACAACAATGAGCACAGCCGTTTCAATTAAAAAGAGAATCTAGAAAAGGTGAGGCTGTCCAGCTGTTATATAAGACTATGACTTTTGAACACTAATCTGGGAGCATGATTTAGTTAGTGTCCCTCATGCACCTGTTGAACTTGCACCCAAAAATACACTGGGCCAAAGAATAACCCTCTAACTAGTTGGTGAAGGCAAGAGAGGTGGGCATGTATTCTACTCTCTCCTCTATTTTCTTTTAAATCCAGTGGTTAGAACTGTATGCTTGTGAGGACTTACAGACAACAGCTTCCTTTATGTAGAAAACTAATGTAAAACTCCTAATTTTTATGTTAACTGATTAACTGTAGAAGCATCTACCATATGCAGCTTCGTGCAATAACCCATGCAGTGAGTCACCCTAATTTAGAAAATGTTTCAGCTTTTGTGTTCTCCTGTATTGCATTTTTCACTCTTAATGAAGAAATGGTTATTCTTTATATTAAATCTTTCTAAAATTAATTCTCAGTCACCTTTGTTGAATATGGAAAGCCATGGCATAGAAAGGATTGGTAAGGAGAGGGAGGAAAACATTTGTTCAGCAGAGGAGATTGAGAGGCTAATGAAAACCAAAAGTTGAAATTACAAATCAAAAGCTGAAATTAGAAGTTTGCAGGGTGAATCTTGAATTCTCTTGCCTTAAGCATTAAGTGTTTTGCAACTCCAAACTTTCTATCCATGCAAATTTCTCAAAATTATGTCATGCCCCGGTAGCTCTTCTGTGTGTACAAATCAATTTTAACATCTCTGTTTAGAAGAAGAGTAATATTACCTCATTACTTGAGATCTGGTTTGACATAAAATCAATAGTAAAATTATTGCCAAGCTTAGCTTATCTGGAAGCCTGCTGCAATGATCCATCTTCTGCTAGATCAGCAATGGGCTTCATTCCTGATTCCATTAAGAAAATTACATTGGCTCTGACTAGCCCCTGTTTCAGTAGTGGGACCAAGAAAAAGAGGTGTAATTATTTACAGCTTTAGAAATCTTGCTGCAGTTGGATCTAGGGGGTGAGGCTTTCTCTTAAGGGGAATACCATGATGATGATGATAAGATTCGATACATGGAAGTACTGTGTGATGCAAAGCTACTTGTCATTTTTGCAGTCTCTGGATGCTTGAAAGCTTTTGCTATGGTGTTATAAATGGAGCAAATTCCAGTACCAGAGATACTTCAGTGCAGAGCTAGGATGTTTCATGGAACCTTAGGGCTCAGAAGAGTTGCCAGTTCACAGTAGTAGTAGTTCAAGATGGTGGCCTTACTTTTCTACCAGATGCCACAGTTCTCCCAACAGAGCTGACAGAATGGTCTGGTCTTCCTAATTCATGGTATTTCAGAGGTTGGTTTACTGACTTGGATGACTAGTAGTTTTGATTTGTTTTGATATACACAGCAAGTTCCAAAGTGTCTGGCTCATAAAACAGATAGGATTAAGGGGCAGCAGCTGAACTAATTATTGCTTTCAGCTGTGGGGCTCTTTAGTTGCTACTACTAAATGTAACACTGTGAATCAGAGGCTGTGTGGCACAGGTTCCTGCGCTCAGGGGTATGTTAACATTGGCAATACTGTGATGTCTCAGCTGGAGGGTGGGTTGTGACTTGGTAGAGATTATGCCTCAATGCTTGGAAAGTCTGCTATGCCTAATGGGTAAATTTAAAATATTTTTAGAGTGTCTTTACCTTTAGTGGCTCATTGAATTAATTTGATAAAGGCCCATTCATTTTTGTGGCCAATAGGATGCAATAGGGATATGAACAAAGCTGTGCCATGTGGCAGGAGGGATTCAGTTCTGGCTCAGTGCCAGCTGGTCTCAGATGTGATCTCACAGTGTGATGGGGGGGGGATATATTTATAAGAGTATTTATGTGATATATACAAAATGAAAGAGCAACAGTTGTTCTCCTTTTTTGGGGAGTAGAGGTGGTGCAATTATAATTTTTACAATTCTGAAGCTGAGTTAAAGTATATTGAACTAATTAATATATTATGGTGAATATATTATAACAAGTGTTTGCATTATTGTCAATTCCAGATGAGTTTTGGGTATTTGTGGATAATTATGTGTATGTACAATAGTGAAAGCGGAAGGTAGGTGGATGCTATAGAAGGGACAGTAAGACACTCTATACAGAAAAAGGTATATAATAGGTTTACAAAGGGAATAATGCAAATTAAAGTTGCTTTGGATTTTTTACCAGTTGCAAATGAGGTGGTCTGTGATTTTCATATTGAGTCCAGTAGAAATGTGTTTGTAGTCTGGGTGTTGCCTTCTTATGTATTTCTAGTGCAGGATGAGGGCTAAATGATCATGCAGCTGAAGGCATTTCTCAAATGAAAAGTAATACTAAAGCAAAACTTGAGCAACCTATCTTTACACTTAATGCCTTCTTATCAGCCCACTGGCACTGACTTAGGTCACTTGTCCAGTAGAGCCCTGTCAACATAAGCAGTGTGTGCAGTATGGGTAAATTTATCTCCCTATGGAGAAAGAAGAGAGCTTACAACAAGAATTCCTTTGTCACTATCCTTGCTACAATCCTTTTACAAAATAGTAACATGTAGTTTTAACTGTATTTTATTGTCTTGTTAATATGAGGCACAAGAAGAGTTATTTAAAATAAAAATAAAGTAAAAATACTTGTAATAACCCTGATGTATTTTTTTAAATAACACCTAAATACCCTGACTTTGAATGAGGTATTTCAAAAATTCCCATTTCATATCTCTGCAGTTTTTGATGTCTTATAACCATCTTTAAAATCAGTGTGCATGGAGCCATCTGTCTTTCTCTGAACTGTCACAAGTGCTGTACAGTTGAGAAACTTTTGTAGTCTAGAGCCTATGGCATTTGTTCTGTAGTGAAATATAAATGGCCAGTGCAATCTGCATTTCCTGAACACCACTTCTCTTCTTCCCCTTGCTATATTGGGTGCATAGTGGTTTGTTGAGGTGGGAAATTAGACAGACAACACACAGGAAAAGTTTCTCACTCTTGACACAACCCAGAAACATTCAGGGCCAGACACTTCCAGAACATGCAATGTCAGTGTTGGTTTGAGGAGATCTAGAGACTTGTGCAGCTGTGTGGTTGATCTGTACTTTCAAGAGCAAACAAAACACAACTATGTGTGTGGAAAGCACATGTTGGGGTGGGGGTGTCTGAAATTGATGATAATTTAAGCATCACTTAAGAATCATTGGGAGTGGTTGGATCTTTTCATCATTAGCAGTAGGTTCTGCAGCAAAGATAACCTGACATGAGCGTGTTAGGCTGAACATCACTTGTTTTATAGTAATACCCATTTGTAATGTTGGTATTTACATTCATTGACCTATTTCCCATGTGGATACTATTATTTCTCTTTGGTACCATGCAAAATCTTTATGCTGGAGACTCCATGGATTCCAGTGTTCTGCGTGTATGTCTATAGTATTTTGTTATCCTCTAGGATGAAGTGGAAATACCTGGTGGCCCAGATTGGACGAATAGAGAGACCTTTTAAAATCACGCTGCTGTATTCAAACTGTGGAGCTCAGGAAGCTGGAGTACTGGCAGTGGGCTCCTTGCAACTCAGGAACTGCTTTCATGGTATGCTGCAATACAGACAGGTTTGGAATAACCAAATGCGTCCTCACCAAAATGGATGAGTGTGATGAGGGGTAGTCACATAGGATTTACATGAAAGCTGAGTCTCCTGTGGGATTTTTGTGAGTGTTTACCTGTCAAGGGTCACATTTGTATGTATATTATCTATATATTTAAATGTAAATGCATTCCAAAGGCAGGGTTGAAACTCAGAGTTATAGAACTAATTTAAGTGTTCCTCTCTCTTTTTAGCTTTGTTTTGCTTGATCTTTGTATGGGAAATACAACCCCAAAACAACCAAACCCAGTGCTTATGCTGCATTCAGCAACAAGAATGAAAAAAGCCTTTACCTAGATCATTGTAGCATTTAATATTTTTACTTCCTAAATAGTCAGGAACAAAAGACTATCCTGTGTCACCAAAACCTTTTTCATACTTGGACTTTATCTTCCAAATGTATGAAGGAAAGAAACACTGATCTGCATTCCATGGGTCTGTTCACTACTGCCAGGCTGAGAATTTCTGTCTAAAATAAAAATAATTGTAATGTAATATTTTCTCCAAAGTACTAAGTGCTCATCTCAGACCTCAGTTTTACCTGGAGCTTACACTTCTGTTGTGAATGTCATGCAAATGATCCTCAATAGCTGTGCAGAACCTTGCTGGTGTCATTTAGGCTTCTTGGAAGTGCAAGAGTCTGTTGGCTCAGGCATCCTTCAGGTTGGAGACATAATCATCTTCGCTTCCTGGATTTTGTACATTAATACGATATTATTGCAACTGCTTTGGAGACTCTGTAGAAACAGCTTGAAATGTAATGTAAAAAGAAAACCTGGTTTCACAGAGATGTTTCATAATATATTATGAGACTGGTTTTAATCTTATTAGAGATTTAATTGTATTGCAACCATTAATCTTTTAATTTAACTAATGCTCTATTTTTAATATATTTTTTGACAGTCCTGGAGTTTTGGAGGGATGCATGCAGCCTGAAGCACTCTCAAGTCTCTAAGTAACCTGATGCATATATCTATCACAACAGAGTATCATGAAAAAATATTGTGTACATGGATGGCTGCAGAAGTGTTCTTTTCTCTTTCTTCTGCAATCGGTTCCCTAACTTCTGCATTTTTTCCAGAGTAGTAATAATCCCAGTGGATCTTGTGTTCAGAGCTCTGATAAAGGGCAGCAGGTCCAGAAGAGAACTACACAAATCTGGCAGTCCATAACAGACCTGTGCACAGATGCATCCACAGGACAGGCTGGGTACATTACAGTCAGGCTTTTGGGAAGTATCAGACTTAAAAATTGTGTTCAGCCTGGTTGATGGGTACCTGTGCAATCAGTCAAATGCTTCCAGAGTATAACTGACCAGACCAGCTAAAGATCCATGAATAAAGTTCCTGCGCAGCGAGCTATCTTCCCAGGCTGGATGCCACAGCTGGAAACCAGCACATGAGTGCTCATGAAATGAGTTAAATTAGTTACACCTGAGTCTCATAGCATCGCAGTTGTCTTCCAGGACTGGAGCTAAGTGAGTATCTCTGCCTCCAGCCCCAGTGTCGTGCAGCATTCCACAGCTGCCTGGCAGGTGCACAGTCATGTGTGCAGAACTGAGGAGCACATCACAGTAGGAAACTGCAAGCTTCTTCATTAAAAAAAAAAAAAAAAAAAAAAAAAAAGTCATTATCTAAAGAAAGCACAACAGAAGCAGCACATGAGAAAGGAGCAATAAATTTGGTTCTCATGAGAGCTCAGGTGATTTGCAGGAATGTCATTCTGAATAAAAACCTACATAAAAAAGCAGAGATGAGTATAATTTATCATCCAAAGGACAATTTCTGAGGTCCTACATGAGAAGGTTAATACTCATGAAGGGTCATACACATTCTGTCAACTCACCTCTGGTCTTCTTTCTCTTTTATTTTCTCCCATTAGATAAAGAAAATCAAGATCTTTTTATATATGACAAAGGCTCCACCTTCCCCTGCCTTCATGGAGGCTGTGTCAGCCACCTACAGATCTGTGAATTCATCAGTGACTGCCCTGCCAAAGAACAGAAAGGAGAGAGGTGTGGTGAGTATGTGGCATGGCACTTTGTGGGAACCTTCATCCTAAGAGAAGAAATAATTTAGAGTGAAAAATAAATTGATTTTATCTCTAGATTAATGCAGTACTTTACCTCCTGAATTAATTTGGCCCATTTACATTAATTGGATATCCATATTCTCTTTGAAATCACCCTAAATGGAATAAAATGGATTAATTTTTTTTTATTTGTTTGAGTTTTTAAATATTGCAGGAAGGAGCTCAGTGACCTTCCTTTCATAGTTATTGCTACTTCAGTGAAAGAAAAAACCTTATTTAGATGTCTGCAGCATTTCCTTTTGGACACAAGATCTAAACCTTCCCTTCTGTGGAAGGTGCTGATCATCTTTCCAGTGTCAGCCATCAACAATGTCATAAATCTGTCCTTCCAAGATCCCAGTTCAAAGTCCTTGCACATCAGGACAGAGAAATCCCCTGGCAGTATATGTAGCTCTGAGAAGCACAATGTAGCTTTATTGCAAGTACAGTGTCAGAGATCGAAAATAATCTGTTGATTTGCCTTCCTTTGAGTGGACAGAGAAAACTGTGATGCCTGCAATGCCACATGCAGCAAGGCCTTTACAAACATATGACAGTGATTTCCCATTCCTTAGATTATGGGAGCTGCAGTTTTGCACAGTATCTAAAGCAGAGAGGATGGCAAAGTCTCAAATATTTCCAGAAGCAAAGTGTTGGCTTTCCGATGGTGACTCTGAAAATAAACAAATAACACCTATTTTGACATTGAAAAACTGTGTAGCATAGGTGGGGTAGCTTGGACAACCACATTGACTTTTCACTTTTGTTGTTGTTTGTATTCTTCCATAACCAAGTTTCTCCTATTTTGCTGTTTTTATTTATTCTCAATTGTAGACAGTCTCCCAGAGGGCTCACACTGCTCTTTTGAAGAGGGTCCATGTGGCTGGACACTGAATGAAACTGCAGGATCTCCTTGGTCTATTCAGGGCTTTTCTGAAGTGATTCAAGATGACTCATTTGTAGGGTCTACCTTGCAAGCCACTGGTGGTAGGTTCCTCATAGTTCTCTCTCACACTCTCTGTGTCTACATATACACAATAGCCTTGAACTTAAGTTTTTTTAATAGATTTAGAAATTTTGGCACCATTGCCAAATGAACTTTAGCATCAGTATTATCTATTGCAACTTCAAATATAGCTAAAATTAGCTTTTGAACTGGATTCAAAACTTAGAGTAAACAAGTTCTGCAACAAAATTAACACAACTATGAGAAACTAGGATTCTCCTCCACCTTAAAAAATTATTTAAGGGATTTTCTTCTCTCTGTGTAACTTCTTCCCACTTTCTTATTCTTATGAGCTATGCAATTGCAGAGTACTTCAACAGCAATATGATAGCTGTTGCATCACAAAATAAAAATTGCCCAACAGAACTAGGCAGCTTGTGAAAACAAATCTTTTGAAGACCCTTGCCAAACTCCACCACTGGGTTCGGAAGAGCATCACATGTAAGCATATCCAAAGTGATCATACACTTTCTGTGCCATAAAATACTACAATAAAAAAAAAAAAAAGAGTCAAAACATTCTCAGAAGTGCAGAAGTGTCAACTTGGTAATTAAGAAGGAGGGAAGCCAGACTCTCACATATTCAGGTTGAAAGTCAGAAGTGCTAACACACATAAGTCTTGTCTCACAGTTCTCTGTCAAAATCAAGGGTGTCCATATGAGTGTCCTGTTTGTCTGTTGAAAACAAAGACTACAGATAAGCTCTTCCAACCGAGTGTTTGTCTCAGCAAGAGTCATTGATGCTAATGGTACAGGAATTCAGGCTGTAGATTGATGTGAGCCCCTGTATGGGAAGATCTAGAGTGACATCTGAGGTTTTTCAGCCATGCTTACACTTGTGTGCACTTACTTACCTGCGTTAACATTAATGATGTTAAACTATTTCAAGCGATTACACAAAAAAGTGAAATATCATTTTGTCTTCTCTGATTCACTTTTATGTTCACAGGACATTTCCTCTACCTGCGAGCAGACAGCACTCAGATGAGCGGTATGGCTAAGGCTTACAGTACCAGCCTGCCTGCCAGTATTGCCACTGAGGGCTATCAGGTATATCACTGTCTTAACACCTTTGTGGAGTAAATTGTCAGGCTGTAGGCACTATTTGCACAATTAGCCCATTATCTTGTCCCTCTGCACCCTTTGCAAAACTCTGGAAAGCAGAAGAGTTGTCTATACTGCCTAGCTAGTTGGCTAGCTAGCCAGCCAGCTGCTAGTTGAAAACTGGAAAGGAGATGTGAGGTGCGTCCCCAGTAAAGTGAAGGCGAGAGTCCCAAATCAGCCACTAATTACGGAAAACTTTCCAGCCAACCTGTACCAACTATTCTTCCAAAATGTACCCAGCAGCTGAACTGTGTGGGTTAGCCTTGGTTTGTAGAAAAGGGAACTGGTTGGCAGGGCTGTTGAGCCATTCAGCGTACCTGCTGCTGAGACCTCTCTTCATAAATTCCGTGATACTTTTGTAGGAGTTAACAAACTTGACAGTTTCACTGAGAACAGGAGTGTGGCGTTAGAAGGCATTAGATTTTCTAGAAATAGACGAAGTTAATAAACTTCTGTTTACATTCTTCAGGAATTTCAAAAGGTAAGGGCAACCTAGCCTGGATAAAATCGCATAAGTTGTCCTGAGCCCAAGTCTTTACAAAGAGATTTAGACAGCTCTGAGATGTTGGAATTAAAACTATTAAATATTATTATAGTTATAACGCTTTGGAATATTAAGCTGCAAGTTTGAGCTGGAACCTCGCTAGAGGAAAAAGAGAAAGCTTTGGTGCCTCCTAATTAGAGCTGGGGAAAGGAATACAGTGCAGGTACCAGAAGTGTGGCTTCAGCATTTATATTTATTTATAAACCCAGGTTGTGTTTGCTGGCTAACTCCAATAAAATAAAATATGCTTGGAGATAACTTTACAAAACCAGGAGAGGAGAAGCATTAGCTGTTGGTTATTGTCTGGATGTCACAGGAGATCTAGATCTATTCTCTCCTCCACTGGCAAGGATTTGAACCCACATTTCAGGAGCAAGCAACTTCCCGTGTCTGTGCTTTGCAGCACGTGTGTGTGCTCACTTTCCTGCCCATACCAGAGCTCTCAGTAACATACAGGACAGCTGAGCATTCAAAGCAATAGTAGAAATGACAGTTTTCTCTTGCTCTGTGGCAAACTGGAAGTGGTTGCTCCAAAAAGACCAGGAATGACTCCTGCTTCAAAATATTTTTTTGGCCTCAAGATCGGGTTGTTCACCTGTCGTGTGGTGCTACAATAGAGATGGTGCCTATGAGTTGGAGCAAGTATATGGACTGAGGTTTCCTGCCTCCAGAGGAAATACTCCTCACCTGAGGGGTATTTAGGGCAGGACAAGTCGCCCTTCAGAGAAGGTGATAACAAGGAAACCAGTGCTCTCACACCCAGATGGTGTACAAGGCCGTGGATACTGTTGTTGTCAGTGGCTAAAGAACAGCTGTCCAACAGGAGTGTCAGTAGGGTCTTCCCTAAGAAATTCTGTGTTAGGAATGCTGTTGAGTCTTACACAATCAATGAGTGGGGGCTTAGTGATCTCTGTGATTAAGCCGTTTGACCCAGGCTCAGAGGTTTGGTGTCTCAAATCCCCAGGGAAGGGAGAAGTGACTACTTCTCCCTTTTTGTCACAGGTTACCATTCTTTTCCTCTTCTTTCTTTATTACAGATCCAGTTCTCAGTGCATGTATTTGGCAGCTACAATGGTACTGTCTCCTTCTCTGTCAAGGAAGAGAGAAAGGGAGCTCCAATCATTTTGCCAATGTGGGAAAGGGCAGGGAGCTGGAGTGACCACTGGTTTCTCATCACCTTACCAATGCCGGTGCTTCAGAACAGGTAAGAGCTCCCTCATCAGCATCCAGGGTTATGCCTATAGATTTAGTAAATTGTTACTGTCTTTATTGTGAAGTGTTGCTTTCATTCTTACCTTCTTTCAGGGCCATTTCAAGTGATTCTGCTCGCTCAGAAAGTATAAGTGCATATCTTTGTGCACATAGCCCAGCTCAACACAAGCCCACACCATGTGACTGCACTTCTGCGCAGCCTCAAGCAGTACTTAGGTTGGGAATAGGAAACACCTGCACTAAAAACATTTTACCAGTCTGAGAAAGCCAGTATACTCGCAGTGGCAAAGTGCTCCCAGTAGGTAAGCAGCTATATTAGCATAGCTGCACTCTGTACTCCCACAGTAAAAAAAAGTCATGTCAGTCAAATAGGTGGTCAAATCACAGTTTAGCCAATACAACTGTCTAGTCTACGATCTATACCAGTGCAGCCTAGGCAGCTGGAGATCATTTGTTGGCACATCACTGATGCAATAATCTCAGGAAAACACTGTTGCCCAAATCAGCCTTGAAAACAAAAGTTTTCAAGGGTTTAGATTTGAAAATGCAATGCAACTTTGGTTCTCAAATGAAGTCAAATATTGAAGATTCAAAGAATTTCAATGTGATCTAATTTTATTCAGGTATTTCTCTTCCCTCACCCAGTGTCCCTCCATCTCAAGCTCTGTAGCTGTTATTTTGCACAACAGGAATGTGTTTTCAGTTTCTCCAATCTGTTCTTTTTAATTTTCCTCAGGAACAACTCCTTCACATGAAACTTAATACAAAAAAAACCTCCCAGTCTATACACATACTGAATATTAAAAATGGAAATCTATCTACCCAATACTGGTAACAAATAATGTCTCAAAATTTCAGGGAATAGAAGGTGTGAGGAAATTCCTTTTAACTTTAAATATTCTTTGCATCTTTATGTAAAAGGCTAAGGTATTTGGTCTGGAAGTGAGAGAGAGAGAGTGAGAATGTTTCAGGTTTAATTGCATGATTATCTTTGCTCTCACTATTATCATGTGTTCACCATATATAATTTGCCATGTATTATTCGTTTAGGGTAGGATTGGTCTGCCTGCTGGCACTGTATTTAATATTCTTGTCTGACACAGTCTGGAGCCCTGTGGATTAGCATCTGTTTGCATGTGTATTTATGCATGTGTAAAGTATGACCCATACATTTGTCCAGAACAGCTCTTTTCCTAAGGCACTTTCATGTGAACCTATCTGCAGCAGACACCATGGGGTTCTTCAGCAGTATTTAAGACCATCGGCCTCCTCTCATATATGGTCCCTTATGCTGGTTTCCTGAACCCTCCAATTCCTGTATGAGTCTTTAGTTCCGATACCAGGCATGGAAGTGTCAGGGATTAAAAAATTTAAAAGGCATTTTCTTAAAATTTTGACAGATTCTCATTCACATGGGAAAAAAAGCTCATCTCTGCCACGTGATTCTCTTCCTCAAAAATTTCCAATACCTGGTAGCACAAAGTGCTTAAAAATTACCAGCATTTTTAAGCATGGTCAAAATGATGAGCCCCTGCATTTTCTCATTCTCAAGACTAGTAAAACATTTTGACTGCTAGAAAAGTCATACCAAATCACTCAAAATAGAAAAGTTCGGCCCAAATTGCTTTAAGGTTAGTGAAGTTGCAAATGACTGTAAACAAAGGTGTGTAACGAACATTGTTGTACAGTTTTAGTACAGTTTGCTATAAACCTCTCTGAATTACTTTTTCTGCGCATTTATGGGTGCTGTCAGCTTTCTGTGGTAATGCAAACTCTAGCAATGCTGTGCTTAGAGAAATTTTTCGTGCTGTCACTTTGTTTTTCTGTATCCTGAATCTTCTGGAGACTCCTGTCCTTCTCTTGCTAGAGGGCTATAATTTTCCCTGGTTCCTTAAAGGGATGATAGCTGGTAATAAAATGGGTAAGAAGGGGACAGATCACACAGGGAGAAGGACTAGGCAAGGATTGTAGCACAAATAGTTGCTGTAGCAGGTCCGGAACTTAATGGACCAGATGTAGAGAAGCCTTAGTGAAGGAATGAGGAAGCCATGGAAGTGATATACAGATAAGTTTTTAGCAAGAGCTCCCTCCAATTAATTTATTTCTTAGGAGAGAAGGAAGTCTAGACAGTTTGCTGATCAGCCTCCCAGTTGGGCATCTAACTACTTGGAAAACTGCTTCTGGTGATCAGCTGGCAAATTCACTTACTTGGTTCATACCACACACAGGGGAAAAGGCTACTGTCAGAAGACAAACATACAAAAGTCCAGACACCAGAGAGCTGGAGAATGTAATCTGCTGGAGTCAGCAAAATGAGCTCAATGAGCAGGAACACTGGTAACCCCTCTGGCTAACACAGCACAAAGTTCAAAAGGCAAATTGTTCCCCTTTTTCTGAAGTTATGAGGCATGCAGAGCCAGAGCTTATGAGATGTCTATTCTCATGCACTGGGGGAGGGAGACCATTCCCCAAGTTCCTACTTGTATTCAGCTGGAGCAGAAATTTACCTTATACTGCAGTGTCATGCACTGCTCTGCCTCCATGGACCAGATGCAGCAGACTGATCTGACCAAAGGTATAATGTCATGTGAGTGCCTAAAGTAAGAAGTAGGTTGTGGTGCTGTATCTATGCCTGTGGGTCCTAAAAGTGCCCCGGTTTGGGCTCAAGGTGCTATGGCTCTCTTCCATCAAATGCCAGGGAAACTTGCTGTTTCAATGGACTTACATACAAGGTTAGAAAATGCAAAACTATCGCTAAACCTGTTCATGAAGAGGAGTGTTTCTGTAGGAAGGGGATCAAATGAAAAATTCCCCCTCTAACCCCACAGCTAAAAGAGTGGTTATTCAAGAGACCCTTGATTGCATTCACTGCACCAACACTTACTCCCAGAGCGCTAAGATCCTGTAGGTGTGGATGCTTTCATTTAAGCACAAGGGGTCATCCTGAGCTAGGGTAAAAGCAGCTTATCCCCTAAGGTTTCGATGCAGCTATGCAACATTATCCTGATGACGGATATCAGCCAACATTTGGTTGGTGGGTGGAATACACACACATATTTTATTGCCACTAATTTAGGACAAGTGTGTTCCTAGGCTGAATGATTAATGTGTAAGGCAGGTCAATGCTCAATCCCTCATAAATCACCATTGAGCTTCACCAGTGACTGCAGTAGAGGTCCTCTCCATATGCTTTTAATAAGCTCTAAATGGACTAGACATCAGACATCTGTTTATTTCTGAAATTTAATGAAAAACTATTCAATCCTATCCATTAAAAGGAGATCCTTCAACCCATTTTCTTTCTTCCTTTTGAATTCAGAATGTAGCAATGCACATGGGACATAACAGAGCTCCTAGATAACTAATAACTGGTCATAATGGAAAGAGGTGAGACAACCCAGAGAGCTAACACCTCAGGGAGTTATGGCTGAAATTTAAAATGTCCCGACCTGAATAAACTCATGTCATCTTGTTGAGTTACACTGGCTGAGGATCAGGCCCAAGAGCTTTGGATATTGTGTTCATTTTTTACTCTAACTCTCTGGGGTATAAAGAAGGAGATTATCTTCCCCCCTTCCCTTTTACACGTGTCCGATTCCCTAACTGTTTCTGGTAATTTAACATAGAAGGTTGTCTGTGTATAACTATTATTGGGAGACAGTAGCTTGTATCTCTACATGTGTGTGCAGACAGCAGGGAAGTAGGTCTGCCATTCTTGTTCCCCATTAATTGTGGAATTATATGAATGTTGGTTGGTCCTTACTAATGTTAGTCCTTACTAATGAGCATTTAAGACATTCAGCAAGCCCTTTTGGCTGCTCAGCAGGGCTTGTCTGGAGGAAACATTGTAAATGGTGATGATTATGTGTCCATGCTAAGGAAACATTGTGATTTTAGGGTGGGTTGGTTTTGGTTTGGCTTGGCTTGGTTTGATTTCATTTCTTCCCTCCTGCACCTTTGTTGGTCTTTCCTAAAACTTATGTCTTATTGCAAAGGTTTGAACTGCAACTCCTGGCAACCTGGGGCTGGAATTCCCAAGCTGACATTGCTATCGACAATATTACATTTGGACTGGACTGCTTCACTGACGGTGAGCCGCAACTGTTGCAGAACTTCTTGAAGAATTTGGGTAGTGTAATCAGCGTCCCACAGACCTAGGACACATGTTCTATTCTGCCCACAGAGTGCACATGGATCATTTGTGTTAGTTTTTTCAGCACAATGCCATTTTATCTCAAACCTACTGAAGACTGCAAGTAGAGGCAATTTTATGGTCTGTTGAACTCTCCTAGTGCTCTTTTTTTCTCTAAGTTGGGATATTCTGTATCATATGGTTGAGACCGGTCCATGTGTCTTGGTGAGAAACACTAGACTTATTCCTTAGCCCCTAAGTGGAAGGATTACATCACACTGTTCTTCCACAGTCCCTGCTGACCTATGCACCCTGGCAATTGATAGCTGAAGGGAATTTGTTGAAATCAAAGGGGAAAGTCACCATATTTTAGTGGAGGAAATGAAGAAAAATAAGGAATAAAGTGACTCTCTGACAATAAAATTTAGATTACTCCAACAAGTTTGTTTTACTCTGTGAGGAGGCGCATTACCTGTCACTGCCAGATATATAACAACTTTCCGTTGCTTCCTTACTGTGAACATGACTGATGACTATACATTCCACAGAAAAATGGAACCATTGCTACCTTGTAAGACATGTTAGCAAGAGCTGGATTTTCTTAGCAAACAAGGGGTAAGAAGTTAGATACTTGAACCACATACCAATAAAAGAAATGACCTTTTTGTCCCATGGGAAAAGACATATGCTCTGTTGTAAAGGAACTGGAGGATATGTAACACTTGAATTGTGACTTCTGTTGCAGACAAAATGTATATTGGTGGTCCTGTGCCACACTTCATGTCACCACACCCCCTGTCAGCATTTAGTGTAATAACGTGTCCCTGCAGTGGCTAGCTGTAGCCTAACATAGCAAATGGGAAGGCTTATATTAAAACAAACCTGTGTTAAAAGCTCATCAACAAAAGCCCCTTTTCCTTCCCATCATTTTCTGATTCAATCTCCTGTTCTTGGTCCCTTTGTTCTGTGAGCAGTAACCACTTTTCTATAAAATACTAAGCATGCATATTTTAGTTTGAAATTAAGAGATAAAGCTGTTCCTTCATGGTAGTGTCATTTGTTCACTCCAGCTCCTTAACAGCTTTGGCTCCCAAACACTTTGGAACCTCCATGCTCACACTTTGTTTTGAAATCTTGAGGAAATTGAAGAGGGTGATTCCAGATGCAATTGTGCCAGCTGATGTGCACCCAGCTGCTGGAGTTTATTGCCTTCCTGAGAGCAGATACAGCCTCCAGTTTACCCACAAACATTTTGCTGGGTCTAGTGTAGATATGCATCCTTTTGCAAATAGATGGGGTACAAATGCCCTCCAACAATGTTGTCAGAGCTTGTCCATTAGACTGCCCAAGCTACTCCTTATTTTCAACTGGTATAAATCGTACTGATGTCAAGGAGCATCTGGTACTTACCCCACCTGAAGGCATGACACAGAGAAGTGTGAGTCATGCAGAAGAAACACATCACAAAGGAAACATGTTTCTGAGAAGACTTGCACTTTCCACTGTTCCTTGAGTCCTCTGTGCAAATTGATGTTTTCTCGCCTCTGATAGCAACCCCTTGTATTTGTCTTCTCATGACTTTAATTCAGTTAGGTTGCAGAGAAGCCCAGTAGCTCTGCTGTGTTTTCAGTAATGAAATTATTTCTCCCTGGCAAGGGCAGGTTTCAGATGTCAGAGACAGAGCCAATTAAAATCCAAGCAGTAAAGTCTTTTCATAAGGGCAGCAGGAAGGATGTATGGCAGGAAGGAAGGAGATGCTTATTGCTAGGATGAAAATATTATTTTCTCCATCTATTTCAATCCTGTAGTTCAATTCTCTACAAAATCCAGTGCAGACTAAAAGCAGTGTTTATGTTTGCAAGATGGGAAAGAAGGTGAGGTTTTCCATATACCTCAAAATGGAAAGTTTCAGTAAGATTTAAGAGGAGAAAACTGGGTAGTGAGGGCAGCTCAAGAGACATCAATAAGGAAAAAAAACAAACAGACCATTCTTTGGATGGCAGCTTCTGGGCATTGAAAGATGTTTTCTCTGTGAAAAACGTCAGATGAAACCACCTTCTGGTTTATACAATCACCTTATGTAAGACAGTGTCAGAAACCACATGGCATGTGTCTGGTTCATTGTGAGAACTTTAGATGGACAGACATAAAGATATTTCATTGTTTTAGTTAACTAGTGTTTTCATGGGAAGAGGTCTGAATTTTCAGTGTCTAAATATGAAAACGTGGACTGACACAGCAAAAAGAGTGCTGATAGTTGCCTTCCTCATTGCCTTTGTTATTACCTTTTTGTGCTCTGAACATTATATTGTTCCAATTGAGATCACAGGTCTGTGATCTATCAAACTCTACTACTCTGGCCTAGAAATTACATTTCATTCTTTGCATTATTTACATTTTCTCAGAAGACTGGTTTAATAATGACAAGACTGTCCAAAGAGAGCTTTTGTATAGCACATGTCTAGTTCTTGACTTTAGAGTCCCTGATCCAGCACAGTCTGATTCTGTTGACTTGCAAGTCTCTTTGCTTGAGGTGAATGGTGGGGAGTGGTTCAAGACTCATTACTGCCTCCTTTCACTGATTTAAGAAGGTGTTCTCTAGAAATGCAGTAGATCAGCCAAAAGGACTGGGAAGGAAGAAGCTGGTACAGCTTCCCCATTCTCTGTCCCTCTCCAAGACAAGCTGGAAAGGTTTCCAGGAGTACTACAACCTGCATTAGTAAGGTGGGATCTCTGAGGAGACCATTCACACCTTGAGGATACTGTGAGGCATCTTACTCAGATTAATTTCAGCCGCAAGACTTCTGTTTCCATTACAGTTCCACACACAGAGGAGTGAAGTACTTTATCTCTTTGCCTGCAGGAGATGCCTTGTCTTTCTCCTGTGCACTTCTCTCTGTCCTTTTTCAATGGGGAAATCAACAACATTATCTAAAACCTGGAGAAAGGAGTTCCGTGCTCTTCATATTTTTCTAATATAGATACACTTAATGGGAATTAATTGTTGTTCCCTTCCATTCATTTACAGTCAACATGTTGGCTGTTAAAAGATGAAGTGCAAGCTAAAATACACTGGAGCAGCAGCCCCTGGACTGCAGGACTACACCATGTGTGTAGAAAAAGTCACAAGTTCATGTCGTACAACGCATAAAATGTCAGCCTTCTAAGAGTTAGCAGCTCATGCAGACAGGGTAATGGTCAACCTGTCTTGCAGTTTGTGTGCTGCTGAACACAGAGGAGACAGAAACTTTCCTCCAGAGGGTGAAGAATTGAGACTGTCTGGAGAAGGAGGAAAGACTGTTTGTTTGGAAATGAGGCTGTGCCTTAGGATACTCAGTTGCAATGCTGAAAAAAATCGCTGCAGACACACAGATCAATTCTCTGTTTTAGAGAATCATTCACATTCCTTTGCTCTGGCAAACATAACCAGACTCCTTGTACATCTCTAAATATCTGAAACTGTTGTGACCTTCGGGATTCAAAATTCAGTGCAGGCCTTGGGAACATCTTTTCTGGTCCTTCATTGTGTTTTTCATTCTGTTTTCCTTCTTGTATTTGATTAATTTCATTTGGTTTTGGTTAATTTCACTTTTTACTGGCCTGACAATCTCATCCATTGAAGTTCTCTATCTCAGCATGAACAAAGTGTGTCAGTACAAAGCTTTCTTTTACTTCCATCCATCAATGTGCTTTCAGTCAGACCTGGGGGGAATATTCTCAGGAGTAAAAGCTCAGCAAGGTCGCCATGCTTCAATTAGTTATTTGGCCTTTCTGACACAGCTAACAAAGGTGTTAATTATTGCTATTTAGAGCAGTGGCTTTGTGGCAGAGATAATTGTCCATCTGGAACTGAGTGAGTCTCTTTTGAATAGGGCATCAAACAGCTGTTAATTCTTACAACTGGAACAAATTGAAATATTTGTAATGTTTTTCAAGTGATGAGAAATGTTCAGTATTAAATTAACTGGGTTCATAACATGGAAGGAGGTATGTCCTTTCTCTTATTGAGATTTTCCAATCAAAAAATCTGCATTAAAATGGGTAATTTAACTATTGAAATTGAATGCTTACAGATTATAAGGCAAGGGTTCAGTTATTAGTTTTTCCTGTTGTAAGGCAGCATTGGTTGTGTGGTGTTCTCAGTGCATTCAGATGTTTTGGAACAACAACTGATTTGAAATCCCTTCTCTCTGGAAAGGGCTGATTTTTGAAGGCCTATTTCACTGGCCAGAAATGCAGAGTTTTGCCCTGTGATTTTCGAAAGGATTTGTCCAAACATTTACATCTTGTGTCAAGGGTATGCTGCTATTTCATAATTGTCTGTGTTAGTGTGACATGTAATTTTATTTAGTATTTTATTCTCTAAGCACGGTCTCAGTTGCTCAGAGTTGGTTGCCGAGAGGGGAGTGATCTGTTAGGCTGGTTTACTTGCCATCACACCACTCAGAACCAAAGATAATGATTTTTGCTATTAGTCTCCTTTACACGTCCACTGATTTGACTGTCCAGAATTGTCACCTACCTGTTTGACCAGCAGACCACCAACACCTGGTATCTGTTCTCCCACACTACATTTTTCCTAAAGTCTGTTGTAATCCCAATTAGTGTAATTTGCTGGCCAAGGAGCTTACTTATCCTGCATGGGATGACATGGAGGGCCTGTATTCATGTGAAGACCAATGGACTTTAGCACACATACAAGTAGCTAACCCAAGACATGGGCTTAAAAGAGTAATACAAAATTATGATTGTCTACAACACCTTTTCTGCCTGAGGTAATATTTACTTAATTTAACCAAATTGTTGTTGTACTTAATTCATTCATGTGATCTTGAAATTTTCCATCCCTCTTTTCTACCATCCTTCCATCTCTCTCCTCTATTCTACAAACTATTACAGGAAGACAACCAAATAATATTGGTGGGAAACGCCAGTACCCACGTGAGATTAGTATGGATGAGCGTCTTCTGAAACCCCTGGAAGAGCCCTCCCTCTCAGGTATATGATTCAGTACTGAAAACCTGTCTCTTCATTGTAAAAGCTAGTTCCCTTCCTATCTCCTATGTGTGATCTGCCTGCCCTGTAGCAAAAGGGCAATTCTATCCATGGCAAAGATGTGGAGACCATGTCAGGTAGACTCTGTTTCACTATGGGGAAGCAGTTTACTGGAGCCCAACACACCAGTCTTTAAATAGCAGGTCCTCTTTAAAGAAAAGAAGTATCTCTTAAAATAAAAGCAGAAGTTCATGACTCAAATTTAGAGTGTACGAAAGGCAGCTCAGGAATAAAAGGTGTAGACTGGCACAGAAAGCTTGGAAGAGATTTACTTGGATTTGGAGAGCAGTGAAGCTGAACCAAATGAGTACAGAATAGCAGTGTAAAGATGAAAATCCAGGGAGGGGAAATAAGTAAGGATCAGGAAACTCACTGAATAGAAAAAGTGGATGAAAAACTAGGAGAATGTGGGACTGGGGACTAGTTTACTGATAATAGTAGAGATTACCACTCTGGAGGACAGATAACAACTGTCTGGGTGAGAAGAGTGATCCAAAGGAAGGGCTGAGGGGGAGAGGTTGTCCTTGAGGCTGTTTTGCAGCTGGCAAGTACCCGTGTATGACTGTACTGGCTCCTGAAGGCTATGTCCACCTGGAATGTGACAATCTGTACTGCTGTCAGTTCCCTTTAGCTCAAGGGACAGAGATTTCTGTAATGTAGCTGACATTTGTACCACAGTGATCCATCCGCATGTTCACAGGAAGACATCTGTTGGGGATGGTTTTGTTTGTCTTTTCTTTTAAACAAGATTTGAATTTTTCTTTTAATGGTTTGTGATTTTTACCTCTATTTTAATCATTCAGCTCTCTGACAGCTCTACTTTTGACTCTGGCTTTGGTGCATGTGCTGCATCACACAATTTTTGGATATGTTATTGAAATTTTTATTCTTAGGCCCCATTTACTGGACAAGGTGGACATGTTTGGGTCTTGGACAGGGGTCGGGAAATGGAGGAGATAGTTATCTGCTGCACTCTTGTAGAAACAAAAGAACAATGTTTAATGAGAACCAGGAAAAAAATTGCTTGGAGAAGGGCCCCTACTGAAAATAAGAAGAGGCTGTTGCTGCTGCCATGGGCTTCTTGTGCGAGCCTGAGACAAGTCACTTAAAACTTTCACCATGCTGCATAGATGGTCATTAGTCATAATGGCAGATGTTTTCCACCCTTATTTCTGTGTACATGCTTTAGTTCTCATCTGGAAAGCCTAATATTTTCTTATTTCATACTGGCACTGAGAAGAGAAATTTGATTATGTCTGCGAGACACTTGGATAAACCCCTTCACAGAAGTCCTGTCCCTCTCCCCTTTTCACCTCCCCCTCACCTCTCCCCCCAAAAAATAATAAAAAAAAAAATGATGGGGTTTATCTCCAGTTCATGATTTATTAAATATTGTGCAGGAAATAAGGTGAGATGAAGAAAAAGCAAACAGTGACTATACCCAGAGCAGTAGTTGTCCTATGACTAGAACAAAGTGAGGATAATATAAGTACTCTATAATCTTATAATTAAGAGTGATATTTTAGTGGATTGCATTATGAGGGAGCTGCATTAAATTGAATAGATAAAAGCAATTTAAGTATGCACTAACTTTCAAGTCTTCACATTGTAAATGCAAGTTTAAGCATTTTTTGCATGATAATAATAATAATAACAATTGTAAGAATGTGATCAAATAGATCAAATAAATGTATTGAGTTTTAAAATCCTGTAGATAGCAAATATTGCTTCAACGTGGTCTTTCCTTTGATCATCTATTTTTTATATAGAAATGATTAATGTTCTATGTGAATAATAGTAATAATAATGTGAATTTTATTATCAAAGGATCATTAAGGAAAGATATCAACAAGAAACGGTTGTTTGTTTTAATTGCACTTGTCCTTCGGTTATGTAGTTCTGTGAGTTATCGCACATGTGGCTGGAAAGCTGCCTGATGGAAAAGGCCCTGGGGGTGTTGTTTGACAGCTGGCTGAGCATGAGCCAGCACTGTGCCCAGGTGGCCTCCATTACTGCAGGTATTTAAAAGTAGTGTAGATATGGAACTTGGGGACATGCTTTAGTGGTAAACTTGGCAGTGCTGGGTTAAGAGCTGGACTCAATGATCTTAGAAGTCTTTTCCAACATAAACAATTCTATGATTGTGTATCTGAGAAATATGGGGAAACTCACACTTGACCTAACTCTTGCTGTTTTGGTCACAGGAGACACAACTGTTGTTTTCTGGTGGTTCTCAACATGTGGTGCCAGTGGCCCTCTTGGGCCAACTCAAGCTCAGTGCGACAGTGCCTATAAGAACAGCAGTGTGACAGTGACTGTGGAGAAGGAGGGCAGGCTCCGGGGAGTACAAGTCTGGAGAGTGCCAGCCACAAACCGATACAGGTGAATATCCGTGTGTTCTGGAGAGGCAGCCACATTTAACTACTTTTTGTTTATGTGGAGTTTCAGCGACCATAAGTGTGGGAGTATCTGTACTGAGTGGGGACAAAGAAATAGGAGTGGTAGCTATAAGGATCTGTGTTCTGAGCTACTGTGAAGCACAGAAGGGTGGAGTGGTGACTTAGAAGAGGTCAGAACAGGAGTGAGAATGGGCATGCAGCCAAGTAGAAGTGCTGCCATCATTTTAGTCCTGAAGTCTTTGACTCTTAGATTGGGCTACACCAGCTCATGCTATTTGCTCCTGAAGTCTCTGCTTCCAGTACTCAAGTGTAGAGTTAGTCTGGGTCTACCTGGATCTGAGGTAAAGACTAGCCATGAACTGCTACAGGAGGGGAACCTGCTCTCGAGCAATGCCTGTTTGGAAATGAAGGCTGGGGAGACCTTGCAGATGGAGTTACTTTGGGGATGAGAAGTGTGAGAGTTGTTTCTTTAACTACTTACTTTTTCTTGCAGGATTTCTGCCTACGGAGCAGCTGGAGGCAAGGGAGCCAAAAACCACAATAAGAGGTCCCACGGAGTTTTCATCTCAGCCACCTTTCACCTGGAGAAAGATGAACTGCTGTACATCTTAGTGGGGCAGCAGGGGGAGGATGCCTGCCCTGGGGTGAGAGCCACCAAACGTGTGGGCAGAGACCTTGCAGATATGATTCAGTGGGTGGATGGGGGTTTGGTGATAAAAGACAGAAATTCCAGAATCCAGCAATGAAATCGAGTCAAGGGACTGGAGAGAACCAATAAAGCAAGAATCTCAAAAATATAAAGAACTCTGAAAAGAAAAACAATCCCAAAATGCACAAACAAACACGAAGCCCACAGGAACTTTGCTTTAAGCTCCTGGTCTTTGAAATAAGTTCCTCATCAGCTTTCTTGTGCTTATTTTAAGCAGGAAGCTAGTAGGTGAAAGTGGTGTGCTCCCCCTCTTGTTTTTCCACAGCCTAGGTTTCTTTCTGTCTGCCAGGATTTCAGATAATTTATTATCGTTTGTGGAAGCATCCAGCAGTGTTGTGCCTGCACTGTGTTAAATACTCCCTAGGCTTAGAAACTAAGGTCTGAATTCAAAGCCTATCAAAACCAGTGAGAATCTTTCCACTAACTACATTGCCCCCTGGGTTAGGTATTTGTAACGACAAAAAAACACTTGCGAGAACTGGACATGAATACTTATATATGCGTCTTCTAATGTGAGACCAAATGATTTGAAAATCCTTTTATCACATAGGCACAAAAATGCCTCTTTTTACCAGGAGTTCTTTGATATTGCCTTTTTCTAGAAATGTGATCAGTTAACCCCTGCCCAGGAACAAAACTGCTTTCTCCTTTCCCCACAGACTGAGGTGTTTTGGGATGCATAAACTATTCTTGTAGGTTTTAAAAATTACTGTTTACCTTGCCCAGAGCATATGATGCTTTACGTAGATGCTGCAACAGATTCTAAGCCCAGCTTTTCTTCACTTCATATAGTACAAGAATTGTATCTATCTAAATAAAACATGCATTTGTATATCTGCAGTTCCCTTTTCAGTGCAGTCTCTAGTCTTTGGTCATAATCTGAAAAGTTGTCAATTAATTCCTTGCATTTCATGACTTGTTCTCCAAATTGCAAAGTATAACCCAGCACTAACTATCTCCCTTTGGCAGGCTCTACTGGAAACAGTTTCAGTTTATTTTTCCCATTTCCAAAGCCTAACTTTCTTTGACTTTGGAAATCCTAATGAATCTGTACATTGGGTAACTAATGTTTGTTTTCCTTTCTCTGAAGAAGTTCTGCAGCTCTAAACCTTGATTCTCTCTCAGATTTACCCCAGTTGCTTTTCCCTGTTCTTCATCTAACTTGTCATCTTTCATTCTCTTATTTGAATCACTCCACTAAGAGAGGCCGTGAACCACCACTACCAGAATTGAGAAAGAGCTCTCCCTCTGTTAATTTTCAGTGAATCTCAAGTCTCAATCTTGGGATGAGATGCAATTGGCAGAAACTGGAATGATGAATATGATGAAGAGCTTCTTTTTTGTGAGGGTGACTGAGCACTGTAATAGGTTTTCCAGGGAGGTTGTGGAGTCTTTTTCTCTGGAGATGTTCAAAAGTGGTCTGAATTATTTGTTCTGAGGAAGTCTGCTTGAGCAAGGAGGTTGCACTACATGACCTCCAGTGGTCCCTTCCAACCTTACTCATTCAACCATTCTGTGATTCCATGTGAAGGAGAGAGCACAGGAAGAAAAACTGGTGCCATGCAGGAATAGTAAACTGGGTCTCCAAGTTATTCTTCCAAGATATGTCAGTAGGTCATTCTTAACTATGTGCAGTCACCTCTGTGTGCTTTATATATTTATAACCTTGAGAAATACCTAAAAAATACAGCAGTAAGAAAGTTCTGAGAATTAATCCATAATGAAAAACATTTTAATGTTTTTTGTTATAAGAAGTTCTAAATAAGTGAAATATGAATTATGTGGTATCAATAATGAGTTATCACCATTACTATATTTTCACTTGCATGTATAATGTGAGTTTAAAAATCAAGGTAACAGACAGACCTATCCCTTAGCTGTTGGTCCTTGCAGAAGAATTCACTTTCCACTAAGATAATCTACATACTGGTTTATATATGTCTGATATGTTATTATACTGAAATATACACACAATGCTCATGAGTTGGACTTCACTGATATTTGAGTACATCTCTCATCTCCTTTCAGAGCAATCCTGAAACCCAGAAGATCTGCCTAGGGGAGTCATCTCTCATTGAAGAAGATTACAGAAAGAAAAAGGATCTGAGGGAATGGGCTGGGGGAGGTGGGGGTGGAGGAGGAGCAACCTACATCTTTAGAGTAAGTATTTCTTCTTCACATCCTGCCTGAGTAGTGTCCAGCAGAGCAACTAGCTCTCACTTTCAGTCATGTCATGTGATAACCACTTCTTTAAAAAAAGGTGACGAAAAAAGAGTCTTCCTTTCCTGTCTCTATCCCTCCCCTCACCTTCTGTCTCTCCTTGGGTTTTGTCTTTTTAATTATTTATCTCTTCTCATATCCTTGATCATATTTGTCAGTGTCACTAAGCTAGTTGAACTGGTTTTTCAGTTCTTAACAGCTCAGATCTGGGAATTACACCAGGATCCCACTTTAATACAGACAGCAGTCCTAAAACAAATGAATCCTAAAATCTTGGTGTTCAGTTAAACAATTACTTTTGTGCACAGAAACATGATGTAAAACATTTTTGTAATGATTCTGTGAAATAATCAGTAGCATTGCCCTGGCCTTGGTCCACTTTGGGATTCTTTCATGCTCATTGATGAGTTTATGTGAGTTCACCTATCCAAGGGATGTGAAGTTTTTCTGATGTTTGATGGGGGGTTTTCCAGCAGAAGGATGGGATTTTCGAACCTTTGCTCATCGCAGCAGGAGGAGGAGGAAAAGCCTACCTGAAGGCTCAAGACAGCTCCCTGGATGATGTACCCCTGGAGCAATTTGAGAACAGCACTGCAGTACCTGGAGTCAGTGGAAGGACTGGTGCATCAGGTGAGATGCTAAAACCACACAAGGTCTGAATTAGGTAGCTAAATACACACATTGTCCTGTGGGCATGAAGGGAAGGGCTTCTCTTTTGGAATTTTTCTATGGCAGTAGTCGTTATAAATATACTGAGTAGTCTGTAAGGATGTTTTTTTATATAGTGTGTCACCAGATAAAAGAGAATTCATAAGAAAGGTGATGAGTACTCCAGTAGAGGCTATTCCATACGAGGACTCCTTTCTTCTGTGAACTGACCCAGTGAAAATGATGTTTGAGGGATGAAGGCCATTCCTTCACACTGTAACAATGGCCTTTGAAGAGAAGACTTTTTCCCTGATACTCCCCCGAAACCCTATCTCGTGGTTTAGGAATGATAATTCCCAATTTAGTGCTCTCACTGAGACTCTTGAAACCACATACCACTTGCTCCCTGCAGTGAGATATCGAGAACTGGAGGCACAAAAGGTGAAAATCAGGGTTTGAGATAAGAACAAATTACTGGAAATAGCAGTGAGATAAGAAATGGAGCAGTAACAACAACAATATTAATAACAAAGTGTACAAGATAGACAAATTATTCACATGCGATTGCTCAGAACCAGTTTCACCTGACTGCTCCTTCCAGCTCAGAACTGGCGTTACCTCACTGCTCCCTCCACCATGCTTACTTGACTTACTCTCCCTCACCCTGAAACTCCCTCCTCCCCCCCGATCCCCCGCGGCAACGATATGAGGTGGTATAGAATAACTTTTGGGTCCTACTGGCTATTGCAAAAATAAATCCTGTCGTGGCTGAAACCAGGATACCCTAAAGACAAAAGTTATGTTATGGGAATTATACCAGAAATGGAAGCTTATTTATAATCTTCTGTTGGGTGTGCCTAGAATCCATACCTAAGATAAATCCAGTGGTTGTTCATCTCCTGCTGCAATAACCTCACAGAGGGGCCACTAGAATGAGATGAAGAAATCCAGTATATTTTTATTTCCCTGGGGAACTCAGCACCTCACATGGCTGAAAGCCCTAACCAGTTATCCTGAAGGGGAGTGATGGGCTCCTTATTTCTTAAATGCAGCTAGAAATTGGTGCTAAGGTGTTGGCTTATGCAGCACTTACCACAGGTTGTGCTTTAGATTTCCACTTGGTTATTGCAGCAAGGAGCTTGTGTGTATATTTCTTAAACTTAAAGAAAATGTTACCTTGAGAAGAAAATACACCTTAAGTGTCTACATTCTGTTTACACTCTGTCTTTCTACAGAGTTCCTCTGCTTGTCTTTCCCTTACCTATTCTTGTTTTATTTTCTTACTCTCTGAAGGTGGAGGTGGTGGCTGGCAAGATGAGAGTCTTCTTCCTCAGGCTGGGAAGTCCCTTCTGGAAGGTGGAGAGGGAGGTCAAGCTTGTCCCCAGGCACTAGACAAGCTCCAGTGGGCCACCTCTGGTGGTTTTGGTGGGGGAGGAGGAGCCTGTACTTCTGGAGGAGGAGGTGGAGGGTACAGAGGTAGGTCTGCTGGAGGAATCAGTCATGATATCTAATTTTATACCCTTCAGAGCACCTGCAGTTAAGGGCTAGCACTCAGTGCAGAGGGACACTGTGGTAGAAGGTGACTCACAGATACTTCAAGCTGAACAGTATGAAACCCGCCCTACTCTCCACTATCTCCCTATAACTGGGGAAATCAAGGTTATAGAAGTGTTCCTATGTGATTTAGTATTTGGAAGGAGTGATGAATCACCCCTTCATCCACTCCCACGTTATCCATATTCCATTTCTTTTTTCTGTTCTAGACAAATACATTTTTACCTTGCTGAACTGAGAAACCTATATTAAATAAAGTCACTTCACTAGCCTTCATACTGGCTGGGTCAAGTGAGTGTTTATCCATCAGTGGTATTATACACACTAATACCACTGGAAGACTGCAGAGTGAACCCAGGTGATAAGTGCCAGGAAAGAATGCAACACTTCAGAGGCATCACATTTTTTGCAGAATGCAGCACTGATCAGCTAGCCATACTCTTCTCTCCCCAGGAGGGCATGCCTCTGATAATGATGATATCACAGCTGGTGGGCAGGATGGCATCTCTTTTGTGAATCCTATTGGAGAGATCTTCTTGCACCCTTTGGCAGGTACAATATACTTCTTATTCCTCTTATTTCTTTCCTCCTTTTCCCTTCTTCCTATTTCCTCTTTCCTGCTCCTTCTTCTCCTGTCTTTGCTTTTTATTAATTTCAGTAAAACTTATTTCATTCTGCAGGTCAGATCTTTAGCTGTGATTATTTCTTCAAATATTTCCATAGTGCTCTGGGACACTTTTTCCCCCAGTCTCTAAATCAGGAGAGACCTAGTCATCAGATTCAACCGCACATCCTCAGTCCCCGACTTTTCCAGGTCAATTAACTTCAAGGCCTCTCTGTTTGCCTAAGGAATCCTGTATCTTCTTCCCTACTGGCCCCAGTCAGACTTCTGACATGTCCACACTGTGTTGGACTATCAGATCTCCTGCAGAGAAGGAGAGAAGTTTTAGGTACCTGCTGGGTTTTGTTTTGTTGGTTTTTTTTTACCTAACTGGAACAAGAGAGGAAAAACTGAACTAAACTTACCTGTTGTGTCTTATTCCTTGTTCAGCCATGGAGAGTCACGGTGAGGTGGAGATTCAGATCTATCTTAATTGCAGCCACTGCCACTCAGACAACTGTAAGCGGGACCCTGACACCAACCTTCCAGTCTGCCAGTGTGAGATGGGGGCTGTGCTGGCCAATGACAATGTCACCTGCACTGGTAAGTTGTGAAATATTAGCTTCACTGGATAACATCTGTATTCTTTATATCACCTCTCCTTCTGGCTTTTTGGATGTTCAGTTCCCAAAGTTAGAGCTAGTGGCTCCAGTAGGCATGGTGTTGTGAGAACTGTCAGTCAAAGATATGACTGAAAATTCCTGATGACCTTTCCTTACATGCTGAACTGGATCTCTGTCACCATCTCCAACATTTATGTTTGGATTAAGTAGAATGTAAAATACCTGTAAAGAGACAGGGTGTAAATTTCCTAAATGGGCTCAGTGTATCAGCTATTTAAGTGTAAATACCTGTCCAGGATAACATACCACCTACTGCTGAGTTATTTAAGCCACAAATTACCTCCTTCCACAGCAGTTTCCCCACTGTGTCTGTCAGCTGATGCCTTGTACTAACTTTTATTTCCTGAAGTCGCTGTTATTTCCTGACACAGTCTCTTGGAGTTCCAAAGCATCAAGACTGTAGAGAGTTTCAACTTGTCAACAGTGATGTTATCCATTTATAGAAAACTGAAGAATGTGTTTTATCAGTTAGTTTTCTATCTTCACAATGGTTTTTAAACTGTTTAGGCTTTTTTTTTTTTTCAACCCCCAGCGTTGTAGAGAGATTTGCTTTAATTTTTATAGTATAGTCTAGCCATGACCTCTCTATTGTTTTCTGAAATGCAAGCAACCTTCAGAGAGATGTGTTACAGTAGCTCTGGTTGGTTTCTGATTAATGCACTTTTTTTTATTATTTTTTCCAGTGCCTCAGGGTCCTATCCCAGAGGGACACATGTCTCTCCCACTCCTCCTAGCTGTGGTGTCTGTGATTGTGGTGCTTGGAATGATCCTCACTTGTGGCAGCCTGTCTATCAGTAAGAAACACTTTCTTATCATCCGTTGACTTGCTTTTCCCAGTTAAATTAGGCAAAAGGAAACTACTTAACCACATGCCACTGCTTTTAATATTTGGAGCCAAAATGTTGTCATGTCCCAAGTGGATCAGAGGGACAGGGAAAAAGAAGTGATAGAAAACAGCACCCCCTGCAGTTACACAAAAGCATAGTTCCAAAGGGTAAGGACTGCTCTTCCCTGGTGTTTGCCACAGGAAAAAAAAAAAAAAAAAAGCTTCTTAGTAGCTATTTTAGTAGCTATTTCTTTAGCAGGCAGTACTATACAGGATGAAGTCACAATCTGCAATTAAACATATAATTCATTCAGGGAGATGGTTTGATTTTTGGGACTCAATGTCAGCAAGACTTCTTACAGAACACTCTTTCCTCAGCCAAAGAAGCATAGGAAAACTAAGTTGCTCCCCGGTACCTGAAGGAATGACTGTTCCCATATACGGTATTAAATCACTACAGGGCATGAAGAAGAGAGTGATGCTGGCAAGCTAAAGATGCTTCTTGAGCATTTATAATTATGGGGTTTGTTTCTTTCTGTTCTGTGGGGCCAGCATTATCTTTTCTGTCCAGGGATTGACCTTGTTTGTGCATTTTCATTTGTCTCCTTACCTGCAGTTTATCACCTTAAGAAGCAGCAGCTGGAAGGAGCCAGGGCACGACTGCAGAGCCCAGAATACAAACTGAGCAAAATCCGTACATCTGCCATCATGACTGATTACAACCCCAACTACTGCTTCGCAGGGAAGGCTGCCACTCTAAGCGAGCTGAAGGAGATCCCACGGAAGAATATTTCTCTGCTTCGGTAAGAAAACAAGGGCCACCTGTCTGACTGCAAAGTACCTAGTCCAAGTCAGACAAAATACAACAGATCTGATACTTCTTATGTTCTCTACGATATTTTGATTCCATGAAGTTCTCAAGCAGAAGTATAAAATCATGAGTCTCCTGTTCAGTGTTTCCACGCACGGCATACAGTATTTTACCTTTGTGTTTTTATATGTTGCCCTGGACTGCACTTACCTCCAGGCAGTAACTCCCTTCCAAATCTATAGCAGTGTTTCTTTTTTAACATTTTCCTACCACAAGGAAATCTTCTGTCACAAGGAAATACACGCTAGGTTGCCCTTTGACTCCATATCATCCAGATGATGTTGATCGAAGTTATAAACTTTGTAATGGAAAACTTGATCACTCTTATGTGCTGTCTTACACCCTCTCCTGAAGATATCAATCTGCAGCCATCTCATTCTGTTGTTCTCCCTTTTCCTCTTGTTTTGTTATTGCCATGCTTGGTGATAGGGCCTAGGACTGAGGAGGCTGCTTTATTTGTTCAGAACCATCAAGGATCCAACTGCACTGTTTTAGTGACACTGAGAGAAAATACTGATAATTTATCTTCAGAATCTTTGAGAGGAAAACAAAACTCTGTTGTTGATTTCATGTCTTACAGCAGATTCTATTCCTAGTCTTGGACTAGATGAAGAGAAGAGCTTGGCCAACACTGGACCCAAGGGTATATATCTATTTTCTCTCTTCTTTTTTTGCAGGGCACTAGGACATGGTGCATTTGGTGAGGTTTATGAGGGAACCGTGGTAGGCATTGCAGGAGATCCCAACCCTCTTCAAGTTGCTATCAAGGTCAGTACCCACAAATTTTTTATATAGCAATAATGACCCATAAAAGCCATATTATCTTTTTACTGTTCCACTTGGAGATTCACGTTCATCACACGCTGAACAGCATACACAGATGTGTAATGCAGAGTTACACGCTTTGCCGCATCCGTCACATAATTTATGTGACAGCTTTGATATTTAAGTTGTACGGCACTAGCATCAGCTAGAAAGTAAAGCATCTGTCTTTTTGCTGCATGCCTAATGGCTGTAAGGTGTGGTCTAAGCAGGAAGAGAATCTAAAAGGGGCAATCTGTTTCTTAAGCTCCATTCCCGTTGCTCAGTAGAGATAGAATCAGTCTTGGAAGTTGTGTGAATTAGTCACCTGGAAACTGCATGTTATGATTAGTTAAAACAATTAATTATCTATTAGCATTATTAAATATTTCTCAATATATGAACTCAGAACTATCAGTTCATCCCAGCAGAGAATATACCACGATGACTTTTCTGCCACAATGATTTATGAGTAACCAAGTGAGTAACCAAGAAAAAAAGAGACTTAAAGGGAATAAAAATAGTAGTAACAAATAGACATTTTGGGACATCGAGGATTAGAATGGGATTTCTAAATTTTGTACAAAGTAAAGAAAGCACTGGAAAATATTAGTATGAATAATTTATGTGACAGCAAGCAGTAAACATTTACCATAATGCCTTTATATTATTCCTTCTGCATTTCAGTGGGTTTGAGTGCTTTCTCCTAAGTTTTTCACATGATGTTATCATATTTAAAAATTTATGAGTTTTCTCAGTTAGTTTCCTTTACACTGAGGGTAGTGTTTTTCTACTCTATGTGAAACTTCTGGTAGTCCCTTGTTATTGCACAGTGTTAAATATACAGTTGTGAATATATATTGTGATATTAGGGTGATTTCCATGTTATTAGTGACAAGAGATAACAGGCTGGTTTTCTGTGAAATTACTGAGATTACCTCAGGATCTGTCAGTTACTCAGCCCTGAAGTTAAGGATGCTCAATGCCTGCTTTTGTTATTTTATAAGCTTGTGACTCAGAGAACCAAATCTACTTCTATGAGTTCAGCTCAAGAATGTAGCCTTCATTAATAAGAGGTTCTACTGTTATTCATCCTGTCTTTCAAAACCCTCTTAAAAAAAAATAAAAGTGAAAGGATCATGCATTATGGCATTTTGTTATGAACTTCCCTGTGCCACTGTACTTTCATCCATCAAAGTGGATGAAAACCCAGGACAGTAGCAAGCAGTTGGAACTGCCCAATTCAGTTTCACTGTCCAGACTGGAGGAAACACCAGAGCACGGTGGCAAACAGAAGAAGTAGTCAACAGCTTGGAAAGTCTTGGCAGCAATGGCCACTTGTTATCCACATATTGTTTATGGGTCTTCCACCAATTTAATAGATGATCTGCACTGTTCTGTGTGAATCAGTCACTTATTTCAGATAGCAAAATGCAGCCCTGCCTCCTGTAGCCCACACTACTGATGACAAGAGCTGTTCCCATGCCAGACACACTATGCTGAGCATCCCACTTCTCTGTGTGCAGTGTGGCTGTGGGCGCTACCTGCAGCTGTGGCCAAACCACCCCCTAATGTTAAAACAGTGGGCACAGTGGCATGTACTGCTTCTACTGCTGCCTGTGCACTCTGTTCGTCTGTGTCAGCAGAAGATGCTGTCCAAATCTGCTGGCAGAAGAGAAAGCTATAAGGCTACATGACACAAATACTTAAATCAAGTGCCTGTATGTGTCATGACATGCAAGCATGTGCTGCAATATGGACATAAAGAAAAGGGAGAATAAATTAACACCTGTAATTTAAAAGAGCTTTCTAGGTCTGTAATTCCCCACCTAATGTCTTTCTTGATGTGTACCTGAAGCTATTTTTACTCCAGAAGTGTGCCTAGAGCTAAATTCACACAAAAAAAATCTTGAAGTAAGTCACTAGTTTCCTATTCTGACTTTAACTACCAAATTGGTCAAATGCACTGCAATAAACCCAACAGTGAAAAGATGAGCCCCTCCTTGTAGGTTGCAGAAGTGATTCACACTACATGCTTGTTCTTTTCTTTTCTCTCTCTCCCTTTTTTTTTTTTTTTTTGGTGGTCAATTCTTTGGTGGGATGGCCTTCACCCCTCACTGTCTTTACCTCTTAACAGACCCTGCCAGAAGTCTGCTCTGAGCAGGACGAGATGGATTTCCTGATGGAAGCATTGATTATCAGGTATAGTTTAAGGTTTTTCTGCTGGTGGTGGGCAGGGGGAAAAAAGAGTAATGCAGGTCATCATAGAATCATTTATCCACTTGCTTTGTTCAGAAATGAAATCCAGTCTTACTTTTCACCAGATGGCATTTTAGTGGCATATAAGTTACTGGTTTCAGCTGCTTGTTTATCTGAAACAAGATAACTCAGGTTCTTTTGTTGCCCATCTCTTGTGGTTTAATGCCAGCAGACAACACAGCAGTGGGATGGAGAACAGAATAAGAAGGCAAAAAAAAGCTCATTGTTGAGCTAATAACAGTTTCATATGTAAAGCAAAATCTGTGTGTGCAAGCCAGTGTTAAAGTCATTCAGTACTTCCCACGGGCGGGCAGGTGTTCAGGCATCCTCAGGAAAATGGGCCTCCATCATGTGTAAAAGCTACTTGGGAAGAAAAATGCCAAACTCCGAATGATCCTTCCCCTTCTTCCTCCTTCTTTCCCCAGCTGTCATTGTTGAGCATGATGCCATATGGTATGGGATATCCCTTTGGTCATTTGGGGCCAGCTGTCATGGTTGTGTCCCCTCAAAACTTCTCGTTCCCCTCCAATCTTTTCACTGAGGGGGAGGGAGATGTGTATGTGAAGAACCTTAATGCTGTGTAAGTACTGCTCAGCAGTAGTTAAAATATCAATGTGTTATCAACACTGTTTTGACCACAAATGCAAAATATAGCACCATATGAGCTACTGTGAAGAAAAGTAACTCTATCCCACTCAAAAAACATTACAACAATTTAACAAAATTTCTGCTGGTTGGTCTTGTTCAGAGGAGTAAGATGGCACAACGTATTTTACAAATATGTTCTGCATTTGAAATGTTTCTCTTTTCAAAGAATCCTATTACCCTCTTATTAAGTATAATTCATATCTTAAAGCCCTTGCTAAGCAAATTTTCAATGATGAAATGGAAAGCAATAGGAAAGATAAAGAGTCACCTGTGCAGTCACTGAGGTGTTCAGCCTCTGCAAGAACAGCACCAGAATGGTGCAACACAGGCTGTGTGCTGTGTGCTACCTAGCCTTAGGTGCTAGGGCTTAAGCTATATTATCTCTTGCAAATAGAAGTTAATAGTTTTTATAGGAGCAGATTTGGCAGCTGAAGGAGAAACTGTGAAAAGCTTTTCCCATTATGGCTTTCAGTCAGTAGCTAAGTGTATGTGCAGCCTTTTTGCTTTTCCTATCTGCAGAGCTGTTTGCCATAATAAAGCACTTTTTGCAGCGAAGGTCCTGTGCTTTTACCCTTTCTTTCCACGAAAATAGCTGAGTGATACATTCTGAAACCTCTGCAGGGATACGGTAGTGAATACGGCTTTGTCTGTGTAGCTTTCATGGGTGGAACAAAGTCCTTGTCTCAGTGCAGCCACTCTTCTTAGATGTGTTCTGGCTTTTGATGCCTTTGCAAGCTTGACAGAACCTTTATAAGGTCCCATCTACATGACCCTCTGACAGTGAACTGTAAGATCTATAAAACCTGCCTGGAAAAGATAATAGACAGCAATTCCTACTACCACCTGTACTTAAAATATTCCAATCTTGGAATTTACTTTGTTAACACAAATACATAACTTAAAACAACAGTATAGTCAAGGGTGGCTTTAAAATAGTAGTAGAGTCAGGGTTCATTGTAAGTGATCAGAATCCATGCATTTTGAATTTGTGCAATATGAAGTTCTTGTTGTCATTGTCCCGCCCAGCTCATACCTAGATGCTGGGTTTCTGCCATTAAAGCATGAATCTCATGACATAGCACCCCTTCTTACAGTCTGCAAGAACTTTGGCAGCTGAACAGGAGGTAACACTGATGTATGTTTTTTTAAAGAGCAATTTTAATCAATTAGACAGTGCCTTGATTCACTTAGAAAGGAAGCTGGAGAAGAGAAAGAGTCGTGTGCTACTATTTTTAGTTCCTGTATTATCCAGGTAATCACTATCTAAGGGAAGATGTTTCTGTCTAATGACTGAATCTTACTGAGCTTCTTGACAACCTCAGCTTTCTTTTGTAAAAAGAAGAAAGCCATCACATAAACAGCTGCTTCAACAGGTATGAGCTGAGTCCTTGTTTGGTAGACTAAATAGAGAACGGAGTCCAGCAAACTAGATGGCACTATATTTAAAATAACCAACGCTGAATTAAAATCCCTATCAGTCAGGACTTTGTTTCACAAATACCAGTAAAATTTTCATGCTTAACTTTCCTATCCCTCTGATGTCACTCTCCTCTTTTAGTCAGTGTGTCCATTAAACTCTGTTTTCATAGACAGAAGGCTCTGCTTTGCTTTTACCTTTTCATACCTTCTGCTGAAGGCTTTCTGTGGGCAAAAGCAGGCATAGCCCTGGTCATAACCAGGGAGGTGTTTTGATATGGCTGAAGTTTGCTTGGCAACTTGTACCGCATCAGGATTTGCTTCTATACAGGTTGATCAAGGCACAGTGAGAGTGTGATGGGTGATGGCCAGGTACTAATGCTGTCTTTCTCTTCCATGTTGCTGTGCTATTGGCTTTCAGTAAGTTCAATCATCAGAACATCGTGCAATGCATTGGTGTCAGCCTACAGACGCTGCCTCGCTTCATTCTGCTTGAGCTCATGGCTGGAGGAGATATGAAGAGCTTTCTTCGGCAGAATCGACCCAGGATGGTGAGATAACTTCCCTATTAGGTTTGTGGTTCACTTTAGTATGACTGGTTTTATAGTTTTATGAACTGGATAAAAACACTGAAGCCAAGCCAGGCTGTGTGTGTGTCCCAGCTCCTGCAGATTTCTGGACACCTATTTCAGTTTGCTTAAAGTAAGAAGGTGTCAACGGGACAAAATGAAAGTAACTGAGGAGGAAAGAGTAAAATCCTATCCTGCCATTCCAGAGTTCTCTGTCAACTGGACTACAAACTAAGAGGCTTTCTTTCTTCACTGTCTGCCTGTTTTCTATGCACTGTGATTATACATGAGGAGCTGAAGTTATAGCACTCATACGTAATAATGGGAATTCACAGCAGGTGTATATGAGCACCCTATGGAGATGCACATATTTGTACTAGTTGAAGAGCTGATCTTAATTTATTTGATATAACTCTGATTTCTGATGATCTGTGTAAAAATTTCTCCCCACCCTTCCTGAGAGCAATAAAGAAATTCCTAGAAAAACACAGAAAATTTCCCTATGGATAAATAAATGACGGGGTGAAAATAAGCAGGGCTCCTGGAGAAACATTTGTTTATTATTCCTAGTTAGGGAAGTGCAGATGGTGAAGGATTGGTACCAGTCCTGGAGTCCTGTGGTAAAGCGTGCCTTTTTTGCATATTGCTCCTGAGGGAAATCGCTGTTCTACAAGAACAGATATGTTGATGAATGCTGACTGTTGGTACAGAGATGTGCACTCGAGCATCTTTGCTCTCTCTTTGAGTTCACATGCTAATTTCTGTTGATAGTTTATTGACTCACTATTTACAAGTGGATGGATTTTTTTCTCTTCCATCTCACCTTTTAAATCTGTTCATCTTTTGATTTACCCTTTACTAGGCTATTCGGGCCAGGCCATATATCTCTCACCAGCTTACTCATGTATTGTGCTCATGTACTGTGCTCAAGAGAGGGGAAATTTTCTTAACTAAGAGTTCTTAATTAAGAGTTTACTAATTTTCTAACTCTCTGCTTTGATCTGCTTATGTTCCTCTTTGCTCGACTCATTTAACCCTTCCACCATGCTGAATGCATGATTCTCCCTTCCCCTTCTTGTGCCCCTCTGTGTTTATCCCCTGGGTGAACTATATTCTTCTGCTCCACTATTCTGCCCTCACTATTTTCTATGTGTCTTTTTCCAGAATCAGCCATCCACGCTAACAATGCAGGACCTGCTGAACATAGCTAGGGATATTGCCTGCGGCTGTAAATATCTAGAAGAGAATCATTTCATCCACAGGTGAGGAGAAACGGTCCCTTTTGATGTATCTCAAGTTGCATGAGGCTTATACAGATTTAATTTGCAGTGGATTAGACAGGACTAATCTCCAGGGGAGAGACAGATATTTCCCCTTCCAATACAGGCTTGTGCCTAGATGTCCAGGAGGGTCTCACTGGTTTCTGTCAGGAGTTAGGTTCTACACCATTCTTTGCATTGCTGAGGAGAAAGGAATCTTCTGTTCAAAGTGAGCAGTTTTAAGTGTTGATTTTCAGGTGCCTGAAATGTAAAGATATTTGAGATGAGCCCTGTAGTCCACTAGATGGTAGTGTCACTCTGTTTTGGCTGTTCGATCTCCCTATCTTGACTTAAATGCTTTCCCTATACCACCAGGACAGAACAGCCCATCATAATCGAGGCAATGATTAGGGAAGTGTAAAACAGAGATAATAGGGCACAAAACTACAGCTCAGACTTCATTCCCAGCTCGGTGGCTGACCTGCTGTGTGGTCTTGGGAAGCCCATATTTGTTTGTCCACACTTTTTTCCCCTCTCTTTTGTCGAGCAAAAACCTGTTCATAAGGCAGGTTCCAAAAAAGAGTAAAATATTATAGAAGAGCTAAAAGTTATTGTAGATATCCTTAACTCCCAACTGGACACTGGACTCCTTTGCTTCCTACTATGAACTGTTTCAGCTCATAGTGTTCCCAGGTACAGCATAAAACTGAATTCCTTACTATGAACTGCATGCTGAGTTCAGCCCTTACGTGTAAAGCAGAGGAGAGACCTGCACAAAGAGGGTCACGCAGGCTCTAACTAAACTGACATGCAGTCTAGAGATCTGATTCACCCACACACATGAACACGTGTACATATGCATGACATTGCACACAACAAAGTGACAGAAATAGGCTAGAGTGGGTAGAGAGACTGGAGAAACTTAGGGAAACAAGTGGCAAGCAGCAATCAGAGCAAAAAGCCGTGAGGCTGAGGGATGGTAATATGTTATGGCTTCATGATTAGATCACATGAAATGGTTTTCAGACTACTTTAAATCGGAACAAGAAAGAAGTTCCTGTGAAAAAGTGTTAGAATTTTCTGTCACTACAAAAGAGCAGTAAGAATGTGCAAGAAGTTCTGACTCTTGGATCTCTTAAAAATTACAAGGGAGCATCAGTATTTTAACTGGGAACTTTGGAGTTAATCGCTATGGTATTATTTGTTTAAAATCCTTACAGTAATAGTAATATTCTTTTAACAGCATCTTAAAAAATATCCTTTAGTATAGTAATATCATTTAACAGCATTTAAAAAAAAACCCTTTGGGTCAGTTTTTGAACTGTTAGATCTCTAAAATAAGCAACCTGGGAATGGATTAATTTGGTTTTGCCAACAATCAGTATAGAAGGAATTTCATTCACTTTCTGTATTACTATTTTTAGTGGTGTCAGTATTACTTAGAGTGGGTTGGGAAGTGAAGGTTATCACTATAGATGTCAAGTATCCTAGGGGCAAAAAGTAATGTAGTGGGGTTGCAGAGAGGTCACTAAGGGCAGGTATTGTCATCTAGGAGTCACAGCTGATAATGGAAGAGAAAATTGAGCCTGACTTCCAAATCCTGAAGGATTTTTCAAGGCTGGCAATGGGAAGAAACATGTGAGTTGTTCAAGGAGCTCATTTTTCTTGGCAGTCAACAGGACCCCCACAGTGCTATGATTTTTAATGAGTTTCTTTTCAGAATGCATATTTAAAATGAACACAAATCCTTCAACCTTGGCCAGGAAGGCATCACTGCCATTTCTCACAAGCTAAACCTGCACCCATCAAATAGGAGCTCCCATATGGAGTTTTGCTTGATTCCATGGGAATATCTTCCCTCTTCTAACACTCATGTTCTTTGCTGCCTTAATGAAAAAACATGGGAGTAAGGAGTGTTTGGAAAACACTGGGTAGAAAATACAACGCAAATGCAGTTCAAGAATTGTGGTTAATGAAAATTATAATATAGCTGGAATTATTTCTTTTTTTAACAAGGCTCTTCTCATTTGTGTAAAGATGACTCAACTGAGACTTGCAGGACAGGGTCTAATATTCTTTCTTTATTCCTTTAGCTACTTAAGAGTTTAGAATTAGATTTTATTTATTTATTTATTTATTTATTTATTTATTTATTTATTTATTTTAATTATTTTTAAGAGATATAGCTGCAAGGAATTGCCTTTTGACCTGTACTGGGGCAGGACGAATAGCCAAAATTGGTGACTTCGGGATGGCCAGGGATATTTACAGGTAAGTGGAAGGCAATTTGAGTCCTGTGAGTAACTCCATAATTTGTATCATTTTGACCAATCTGAACTGTCTCATGGTAAATCAGTGGAACCATCCATATGTCTGACTTTGATGACCAGTTAACTAACCAGTGTTAACAGACTGTAAATTAACACATCCATGCTTACAAGCTGATCCACTTCAACTGTGGCCCCAGGAAAATGCAAACACATGTGGACACTAAACCAAGCATAGACAAATTTATTAGCTAATTGATCATAAATAATCTTAAATTAAAATGCCCCACAAAACCCATAATTCTCAGTTTATTATGTCAAGAAGACTTGCTGCATCAACACCCTGCCAAGTTTGCTGTCTTCAGCTGTGTATGTAAACATCCTCAGTTTCCATCTCAGTTGCAAAGAGGACATAAAATACCACCTCAACGCACTATTTGTGTTGATGACTTTTCCTCTTTCTCACTTGGCCTCCATTGCTGTATGCAATCCCCAGCTGCTGTTACTGCGGTGATGAGATCTTTTATATATGAAAGCCCTTTCAAGCTGTGTGACATTCTCTGTTCATTTTATATTTTCCAGAGCAAGTTACTACCGCAAGGGAGGAAGAGCTATGCTTCCTGTAAAGTGGATGCCACCAGAAGCTTTTCTAGAGGGTATTTTCACCTCCAAGACTGATACCTGGTAATAAATGTCTTTTAATCACTTCTGCTACTCACTGATCAGCATCAAGAAAGGTACTGCTCAAGAAAAAAATTGTCTGCTCAACAGGAACCTTAAGAAATGTCAGAATGTCCTAGAAAAAATATGAGAAGTCCTCCCTTCTACTGCATTCAGTAGAAGCATGGCTAAAGAATTAAAAAGAATTAAGAAGTCTAATGTAAAAGAAGGTAATAAAAGCTTCCCATGCATAAATGTAGTATATGAAGCTAATCAAGAAGTGAGAAGTGAAAGCAGATTAGATTCTCTAGAAATCTCAGTTAAAAATCCAGAGAAATACCATCAGCCATTTTCCTCAGCCCTCAGTATTTGCCACTCAGTTTCCTTCAGTGACAAGGCCTGCTTAAATACCTCTTAAGTGACACTCTGTACCACTCAGGATTACTCTTTTGTATATTGTTTTGTACTGCATATAGAATGACAGCAGATTTAATCAGAAATCCTTGTTGGTTGCTGAGGAAAAAAATATTTATATCTTGATTTCTCGTGTAACTTGAGTTTTCTTTAAAATAAGCACCCCCTCAACAGTAGTACAGTCATGCACATTGCTGGATAATGGCAGCTTTCCAGTTGTTGAGAGTGCCTCTTTCTCTGTACAGTAGATTCTTCAATATACTGTACTGGGACATTCCCTTAAATGCCACACTGACCCAGTTTCCTGAAGTTAGTGATGCCGGAAGACACAGGACTGCTTATCAGCTCCTAACTGTGAGCAGCCAGTACTAAGTATTTTGAAGGAAAGTGCCACAGTTCCTGTAATAGGCTATTATAAGTACATGCATGTACTGGAAATTATTTTGACCTTTGCAGCAAATAGTGACTCCTAAAATTCTGCCCCTGCTGAAGTTCTGGCAGAATCCTCTTGACTTCCCTGTGTCTGGTCATACACAATTTCCAGTGGCACTGCCTATTTAATCCATGGTTGTAAAAAAGCAGAACAACCTAATCAGAACAAAAAAAAAAAAAATGCTGCTGCCTTCCAGTTTCATTGGATGTCTCTTACTTGATTTTGTTCTTGAGCATCTTGTTCCCAAACACTGATTCAAATGTCAAGGAAATTTCCCTGTCTGATCATCCAGGAGCCACGCTGGCAGTCACACTTGCACCACTCGCTCCATAGAGGCCCCTCGGCAGCTACACTCACCACACTCACACAGGTTTCCTCACCAGCTCAGCCCTAGGTTTCCCATAGCAGAGTCTCAGATGTGTGGATCCTTAAAACAACTTAGTTATGGTGCAAAAACAAAATAGCAGCTTGAGCTGGTGCCTCTAAAGAGGGACCTCAAACAAAGGAAAGCCTGGAGTTCTATATCCTCACACTCTTGGATCTTGGGCAAAGGTTTTGGTTGATTGCGTTTTTTTCATGTAAAAGTTGACTCATAATCACACTAATTGTACATTACTGTGGTTGGACTGCACCTTTGAAAGTTTGTTGCTGTGGTGTTACCTACACGGCTTCACACTAGGTTTGTGGAGCACCAGTGAAACCTAATTGGTATTGTTGGCTGGTTTCTGACACAGGTCCTTTGGTGTGCTGCTTTGGGAGATTTTCTCTCTAGGCTACATGCCCTACCCTTGCAAAACCAATCAGGAAGTGCTGGAATTTGTCACCAGTGGAGGAAGAATGGATCCACCAAAAAACTGTCCAGGACCAGTGTAAGTATTTCCTTACTCTTACAGGCCAAGGTAAAGCAGGTGTCAAACATGCAGACAAAGACACCTCTAGTCAGGCAATGGTGATTGCCCTCAGTATCAGGTGGGTATTACTAAATGCCTCTTGAGCTATTGCCTCTTATATACAGCTAAGACCACTATAGGATTTCCTCTAAGTAGTAGTTCCCTAATGAGACAGGATCCAGGGATGACATATCCACTTTTGTTCTACTCCTTTTGCCCACGTACCAAGTGTTGTTCCTTGCACCTGTGATCACTTCATACTGAAACACTTTTTTCATAATTATCCTTCTTGATCAATACTTTTTTCTTTTTTTTCGTTACTTACCTAAAGGTACCGGATCATGACACAGTGCTGGCAGCACAGCCCAGAGTATCGGCCAAACTTCTCTACCATTCTGGAAAGAATCAAATATTGCACACAGGTATTGCTCTTTGGTATCTATGAGGATGATAATCCATGGAATACCAGCTATCCAAAGACACTGAACACAAGCTCTATGAGGAGAGGCTGAGGGAGCTGGGGTTTTTTTAGCCTGGAGAAGAGAAGGCTCAGGGGAGACCTCATCACTCTCTACAGCTACCTGGAAGGAGGTTGTAGCCAGGTGGGGGTTGGTCTCTTCTCCCAGGCAGATATCAGCAAGACAAGAGGGCATGGCTTTAAGCTCTACCAAGGGAGGTTTAGGTTAGATATTAGAAAGAAATTCTTTACAGAGAGAGGTGATCCGGCATTGGAATGGGCTGCCCAGGGAAGTGGTGGATTCTCCGTCCCTGGAGGTTTTTAAGACGAGACTGGGTGTTGCATTGAGTGCCATAGTCTAATAACTGTGGTGGTCGTGGATCAAGGGTTGGACTTAACGATCTCAGAGGTCCTTTCCAACTCTGCTGATTCTATGATGTTGCTTGAAAGCCACAGCTGAATGGTTATGGAGTGGAGAGGGGGAGTGAAATGGCTTGCTGAGTTCACCAGTTAGTAGCACTTTAATGCTACAGATCTGGATCCAACTTCCCAAAGGAGAAATTTTATACTAGTGACCTGCAGATTAAACACAGATTTCAATAAAGCACAGCCTCTGCTCAAATGAGGCATGTAGACAAGATGGCATTTTTGCAGCTCTCAACAGCATGTGATATCCAGGTGGAACACAGCACCTTGTACATTGTGCAGGAATACTGCCTAAATCTGATGGCAGTCTCTGCCAAAACCTTTTTCGGTCTCATAGCTATTTCTTTTAAAGTGTAGATGTGACAATCACCCTGGAGGTGTAACTGATTCTTGTCTCTGCTTTTAAGGACCCTGATGTGATCAACACTGAGCTGCCCATGGAGTGTAGCCCCACACCAGAGGATGAAGGGAGTATGGTCATCCGCCCAAACATTTCCAGTGGGATAGTGCCGCTGCTGGTAAGCCCTTCTCTCACACCTCAGACAACACCTAAAACAATGGAATCTCACCATGCTGGGCACAGACTTGTACAATGCCCACAAGAGCTACTGGTGGAGAACCTGAGCAACCGGACTGCCCGAGGACCCAGCCTGCCATGTCTCAGTGATTTCAACAGCGGGTCATGGTTCCAGCAGACCTCAAACCAGAAGTTGGACCTCACCAACCCAACAGCCCACAGACTTAAAAACAAAACAAAAAATCTTTGGAACCCAACCTATGGATCATGGGTGCTAGAGAATATCTGTCACTTCAGCCCCAGCTCCAAGTTCAAAGCAAATCCAGAGCGGGAAGATTCAGGCTTTGATGGGAATTGCAGTTCTCCTAGCTCTCGAGCATCTCCAGCATCTCCAAGTCGAAGCAACTGCCCTCACCTGGATATCAGTGGGATAGAACTGGTGAAACTCCAGACTTTCCCCTGTGGCAAAGCAAATTATGCTTATGATGACCTGTGCTACAGTGCTGAGCACCAGCCATTAGCCTTAGCTGAGGTCAGAACAGCTGTGCTAAGAAGCTCCAGTCTGCACAGGGATGAAAACTCTTTTTATAAAACAGAGAAAACATCAAGAGAGAGGGACTCTGGTCTGTCTTTGTCAGATGACCTGAGTGTTACTCCAGTATAGTAGAAATGGTTCATCCCAAGATCAGGGAGTGTGTATGTCTGGAAGGACTGCTTCCTATTTCACTTACTTCCTCCATTTTAACTCCTTCAGATGGGTGAAGTTTCAACCTCAGCAATGTTCTGCTTCCTCCATCTACCTGCTGGATCCCCAGATAGTTAAAGACAGTTGCATTTCTATCTCTGTCCTTCAAATGTGTTCCAGCTTAGAGGTGGAGAACAATGGCATTACTTCTCTGAATACCTAAGGAATGGACTCCTTAATATGCTCAGGTGAAAAGAAATGGACCTACCATCCAGCTGCAGCATTTGGATGGAAATAATGACCAACACAGGTTGTTTTTCTTTCTGACTGAAGAATCCAAAAACGTGTGCTGTGCCAGCAGCAACCAAATTGCAAAGGCTGCTACATTCCTGAGACCTTTTTACAGTCCTGACGAATTACTAATTCTCATGTAGTATATGGGAAGTAAAAAAATATAGCAACCACATTTTCATCTGTTTTATTAGTAGACCTTGTGAAAGCTATTGCTCAAATTGGAAGCAGTAGGAAACAGTAGGAAAGATGGAAAAAAAAATAATCAGACTCCTCTGAGCATGTGCTTTGAAAACAAGCAATGAAGAGGAAAACAAATTTACCATTAATAAAGCAGTAGTGGGTGGAGCTGATAGTATCTCTTTGAATAGTGGAGGAAATGTGCTGCTTGCCTCACAGTGTAGCTCTCCTCACAGCTCCTGCCATTGAAGGGGCAGGTGGTTTTTCAAGAAAGGGAGAGCTGCATGGCGTGATGAGAAATGGACTGTCTTTATCTTCTAATGGACTTTACTTGAGATGACCTTAATTTTTGTAAGAACTTTGATATTCAGGATTAATTCCCTGTGCTGTGTTGGTAAGCATTAAGCTGAGGTTCTTAGGTGACTGTCCAGCATTTGGTGTACTGGAGTTCTTGGTTGTAATACCTATGTCTCTGAGGTAGAAAGAAAGTCATGCAAAGGAAGGACAGAGTGAAGGAAACTTAATGCAAACACTACTTGGGGTGCTCTTCATACTGGAAGGCAGAGTAGCTCGACCATTTGAGAAAGCTAAAACCATGACTTGGCTTCACACAGCTGAGCAGGTCATAATTTTTCCTTGCCTTGCAGACTTGCTGGTAAAGGTAGTTGTTTGTTTTGAAGACAGCTCGTTTCTAAGGCTTTCTTTGGTTGCTTAGGATCTAAACTGATGTTTACTGGTTAAAGCCTGCAAAATAAGGAGACAGAAAAGGCAAAACAGTTTGGATTAAGTCTGAACAGTCTTGGAAGCATTCTTTCTTTGTACCACTCCTTAATGTCACAATGCCAACCTACAGTGGCAAATTACATTACCTTTGTGTGTAATCAAGTTGGGTGGTGAGATGTCAGTTGTAGACTACTCTGGTTTCTTTCTGAGGCAAGAGGGTCTCTGGTGCATGGTTTAAGCTTAGTGGTCAGCTGCATGTAGAGTCTGAAGATATGGGCTAATAGGAGAGGGTTTGCTTTGACCACACAGAGTTCCTGTACTTTACATCATTTAGGGATGGACACTACTGAGCTGTGGTAAAGAAAAGCACAGAGTGAAGAGTGTGAATCAATCCTCAGTGAAACGCATCCTCGGCACAGGTTTATGCTTCACTGGTCTTACTTTGTATCTGTTCCACACTTCCTATAGTTTTAGGCCTTTGACTTTAGAATTAATAGTTTTATATAATGTCATTTCAGTGCATATAAATATCTTAAGAGCAGGTGTCAAGAGGACTGGACCAAAGTCATTCCAGTGGTACCCGGCAACAGGACAAAGGGCACCAGGCACAAACTGAAACGCATGACATTCCATCTGAATACGAGGAAAAAACCTTGTTTACTTTGAGGGTGACAGAACACTGGAACAGGTTGCCCAGAGAAGCTGCAGAGTGTCTTTCTCCAGAGACACTCAACAGCAATTTGAATGTGATGCTGTGCAATCTGCTCAAGGTGAAGCTACTTTACTGGGGGGAGTTGGACTAGATGATCTCCAGAGGTCCCTTTTAACACCAACCCTTCTGTGATTTCCAGACACAAATGGCCACCTTTCAGCAATGGCCTGTATGGTATGGAAATAATTCCAAATCCATGTTGTAAAATGACAGATGGTCAGAAGACAGGGGTCCCTCTGTGTGGGACAAATTCCAGTAGTAGTGTGAGCACTGAGGGGCTTAGTGACCAAGGGAGATGGTTGACCTTGCCTCCTGCCCTTCTTTCTCTTTCACCTTTGTCTTAGCTCTCTGGCTTCTCTCACATTTAGCTTGTCACCTGTCCTATCTTATATGTCTAAGAGTGCTCAGGAGTGGGGTGTTGAAGAGCAATAGTAAGAGCTGAGTGAGCATGTATTGATTATTTCCTAGACATACTCTGATGGTTTGCAACAGCATGTAGCTCAGAGCTGTCCTAAGGCAGATGCAGTCCTTCTAACAAGATAGAATATGGAGCTGCAGATACCAAATGGGCACTAAAAGAAAAAGCTGGGAATTTTAAAAGCATCTGCATTAGCAACCTAAATTTTATCCAAGCTTTTAACTCTCTCAAATGGAATCTTCTGTCAGCATAGTTACTGCCATGAATCTCTTTTTTTTAGCTGCTTTTTAAAAACCCTCACAGATAATGAATTTTTAATTAATATCTTGGAGGAAATAATGTTGAAATTGCTCCTGTTGTGATGCTGAATTCTACATGCTGTCCAAACCATATTATCTCAAAAGAAAAATAATAATGCCACACACCACCATCTTCAGTCTTTACATTCTGAAACTTACTTCATACAGAGATTTCATAGTGCTCAATTGCAACTATTTCAAAATATAACTTGCTTGAAACCAATTTTTAAGGAGACACAGTGCATAATTAATGAGATAAACCCATAGTATCAAAATTAAATTACTTTGGCAACTGAAAGCCAAAATGCAATTTTGATTCCTACGGGAATGACATGAGCTGGAAATGTGGGATTAATTCAGTCCTGTTATCCATGAGAAAAGTCTTCCAACACTTCCCACTGCAGAATCAGCCATTATAGGATTATTATAAATTGCTCTTCCTGACAGGTGTCTTTTAACATGTTAGCAAATTGGTTTTGTATTTGATTGTACAGAGTTGTTTTTTCTTCTGGGTTCAGCATCAGTACTTTATGTTGCTTCATAAAACCTCATACTTACATTTTAAAGAAGGGACTTAAAATAATGCAAACGTTATTTTGTATTTCTCTGCTTTCTTTTCACATTTGTTGATATTCCTGCTTCTGATTTCATTATTTTTAATCTCAATTTAAGTGCTTTGCATCTTCATTTTACCCTTTAAAGAAAAAGAATTTTTAACTACACACATTTAAGGTGTTCCCCTCTTACCAACCCTTTTCCTGAGCTAATTTCTCAACTGATTTGCCTATGGGCAGGTGTGCACTAAGAAAGCTTTCCAGGACTAATAAAATAGTTAAGAGCTTTTGCAAGTGTAACTTATTCCACCTCCACTACACTCCCCCTACTTACCCAAAAGAGAAGAAAACACTGCTGCTGCAAATATGGTTTTCTGCAATGTACTTGCGCCTCCACAGCTGGGTCAGCCAGGGATCAGACTTTCTTAGACTCTTGAGCAGCAGAGCTCTGTGAGACTGTTTCTCCTTGTAGGCATAGCTGTGCTCTCTCCTCCTGGCTGTCCACCCTTCTCAATCTGATGCAGAGACTTTAGTGATATCTTGTCTAACATCTCTCCATCACATTATCTGAATTTGTTTTGATTTGTCATTACCTCTGATCATGGCAGCACTTCTTGCCAACTTACCTTTCTGGGTGACTACTGTACATAAGTAGATGACACGCCTGCTTCTATGCAATATAAAGTTGGACAAGTGTATCCTTCTATATTTGCAACATAAAATAAAGAGACACTAATGGTGGTATTTGCTTCCCTCTCTGTTAAGAACACTTTGCACACAGGTAAGAATACATTTCTTCATGCTGAGAAGCGCTGCCAGTCCTGGCACGTTGACTGTTCCTTCCTGTGGCCATAAAAAACTGCCCAGTGGAACAGTTAACTGCTCAGAGTCTGACAAGTGCCTCTTCATGCACATTTTTTTGTATGCTATGGGCTATTCACTGAGATTTACCTCAAAAGAAGCCAACGAGCTTTGTGTGGATCAGGTTCCAAAGTTAACATATACAATGGGGTTTGCGATCAAGCTCCAGTGTTAGCTTCCAGTTGTCTTAGAACTGGTTTTGCTTTAGGAAATACCAAATGCTAAAGACTAAATCCTAAAGAAACATTGAAATAAAAAGTTTTTTGTCCCTTTCTTAAGGAATCTCTGGAAGAAAATATATCATTCCCATGTGACCAAATCACAGCGGCTTTTTTTTCTTCAGTCTCATTTATTTAGTAGCATACACACTTCAGAGTAACAAACACTCATCCAATACAGTCAATGTCAAAAGTGACCATGGTCAGCATTGCATTGTAGTGTTCAGAACTGATGCATGTGGATGATACAGGCCATTTGATCTCAGTACCTTAAGAATAACAAATAACAACAGCAATAAAAAAAATAGCAAAAGCCCTCTGAGATACTTAAGGGTTTGGTCCAACTCCCATTGAAATCTTTCCCTTTAATAGGAACTGGATCCTATTAAGTGAATTTCTCCCTGTACAAAATTTAGAGGGATTTAATTGTTACCATTTTGGTTAAATTTCAGCCACATTTACATCCCTGTGGGGCCTCAACACCTGACATCTTTAAACTTATCTGATGTATCTCTTTATGCATTTATTTCTATATTGCACCTTCCTCCAAATGATCTCACAGCATCTTGCAGGAAACAGTGAAGGACAGCCTCACACCATTCCTGTGAGGTAAATAGGTACTGTTCCCATCTGTAAAATGGGAAAAAAACCTGATGCCTAGTTGTCCAAGGCCAAAAAAACAAGTCAATGACAAGTTGAGGGAAAGAAGTCCTACTTTCAGATTCACACAGGAATACAGCAGCTACAACAGTAAGCATTGCTGCATCTAACCTGTGGGTTTAAAGACCTTGGTGCCCAAGTCAGAGGTCAGCTGTTCAGCACCAAAGTGCCTCTGGGCCAGCATACCATGCTGTGGAAACACACACTCTCAGTGTCTCCAGAGCGAGGCACTATCCCAGCAGATGCACTAATGAACGACATTATGGACTTGCATGTGAACAAGTCCCTTGGTTATCATGCATCAGCTCTTCAATGTTACATACCTGTGCAAATGCATCGTGCTGACTCTCTGGTAAATATAAGCTTATTGAAGGCAACTTACTCCATAGTGAAAGAAGGCTTCCTCACACTAGCGAGTGTACACAGACAGGCCCTCTGGTCCATCTGATGAGAAACAAGGTATCTAACACACCCTGTGGTAGTTGGTTTACAAACTCACAGTCTCACCCCCCCTAGAACTCCTGTGCTCAGTGGGAAATCCTACCCTTGGCAGTTTACCAAGAAAAGCTGCCTGTTTCTCTCCTTTCCCAGACCAGCAGCAGATCATTGTGATTTCTTCCTTTCTGATCCCTTAGCAAGGCAAAGAGGACATTTCAAAACTAACTCTCTAGAACTATGTATCATCTAGCATGAGTTTCCAGACCACAGTTGCTATAGCAGAGGTTTTCACTTTTCCCTGACCTTTCCAACAGTCATTCTAAAAGTCTGTCTTAAATTCTCAACCGACATTTGAGCACCAACCTTTACCATCTAAATCTCTCCTCTAGAAAATAAGTTACACTGATGCAAAAGATTCACAAGTGTGGTAACAGAAGGAAGAAATTTAACTCTGAAGATTAATTAGGCAAACTACTAAATGAATTATATCTTCACAGTGTTATGTCTAACTTTAATAATTCTTTTTTAATGGTAGGACTGCTTGCAATTGAAGTCTCATATAAAAAGGTAATGTTAATAAAGTCTTCCTTGTGAGACCCATTTACCTGCTATTCTCCTTAAGCACTGTTATCTGGTGGCTTATCAGTTGGCTTCAGGAAAGGAAAAATACTTTTAAATTGTATGAAATTCACCACAGATTCATTTGTCATTTCATAGCAGTTCAAAAGTTAGGAGGCACCTGGAATGATATCTGTGCTGTCAATTAAAAAAAAAAAAAAAAAAAAAAAAAAAAAAAAAAAAAAAAAAAAAAAAAA